CTAAACCAAAGAAGGGAACATGGGGACGGAAGAGAGCTCGAGAACGGCTGAAGCAGGGCAATGTGTTTTTCGGAAATAACTGTGAAATAGCTCTGTTGTTGCCGATTTCCTTTAACTCAAAATTTCTGTACTCCCTTGTAACCTTGCAAGGGGAAATATGTGTGATACACTCATTTGATTATTTAACAATATATTTGTTGTATTTCTCCGCCTAAAATGATTTCCTTCTCAACTTCTCAATTTTTTGCGCAATAGAAAAAAAATGTTACCTGACTATATTAAAAAAGATAGTGCAACAACCAAGCTACTGGCAAAGTTCACGGCTCTAGACATTGCAAACCCATCACTTATTATACTGCAGCATAGCGTTTCCGTGTCTCAAAAATGTACTGATCCGTTGTTTTTTGCCCAGGGGGTGAGGACTACTCCGGTTTATTTAAGCCATATAGGCAAGAGAGGTATCCTCTCTTCATATAGGTAAGTGCATGGTTTTTGCGTCGGTCTAAAAACGGGTGTAGACTTTGCCCATTTTGGTCTGGAATCGGGGATGATTTTTGAGGGAACTACTTGAACGTGTTTGTCCTTTCATTCCCAAACAAGAGAGAGCTCATTCTCCCTTGTCCCAAATGAGTGGGAAGAAAGAGTAATATGCGAATTCGAAATGGATTTTCAGAAATCTTTTTGTTCGCGTTCTGATCAAACCCCACACTCTCTATGCCCCCCTCCGTGTAATGTGACTGTAATCGGATGCAATTTCTGCTTATGGAAACATGAGTCCAGGTCTGAAAACTGGTGTGGAAAATGACATTTTTTGGTCTGAAATAGAGCTAGGATTTGGAGAACCAGCCATCACCGGACGGTACACCCCCACCAAGAATTCCCAAGAGTACCCCCCGGGATCTCACAGTCGTGACTAATTATTGTAATCTATATCCTTATTAGTTTTTCTTTTCTTTTTTGGGTTGTACGTCATTTCCGCCTCTCCCTTTTAAACAATTTTTATTGCGAAATTTTCCCTCTGTATAATATTGTAATTCGTATCATAAATTCAGTAACATCTGTAAACCTGAAGACGGCTGGTATGGCCGGCCAAAATATTGTTATAAACAAGACGCTAACGAAGCGTACACTTAGGCGCCGTTGTACCAAGCTTATGTGACTATTTTTTGTGTCGGGCACGTGTGAGTGCCGCAATGTTGTTAATCAAGGGTTGGTTGAAAAGGGTGAAAAAGGGGACGTGGAGCCTTAGTGGACGTTGCTTAGTATGAAAATAGCTCGGATTTTTCCTAGGATTTCCTAACGTAAACTGGCTCACCGAATAGCGAACACGCACGACTACCAAGAAATGTCATGGACTGGTAGCAGCCTCTCTATTTGGAGTGGCAAGCGAACACGTGAGTGAGGTCTCACTTTCTATTCCCACACCTTGCTCCCGCGTCTCTTTTCGCATGCCACTCGCGCTTGACTTCTCTCGATATCTCTTAAATGAAGAGCTCGCTCGCAGGCTGTTACGGTTTTCATTGTTGTAAGGGATGGTTGCATCGCCAGACATCGTCATCATAATGGCTCAGTAAATTCCAAGCGTACCCATCCCCCCAAAAGCATTTGTCAAGTGCTGACATCTCCTTTGGCTCTCGACATCTGAGGAAGAGTGGACAAAATTGCTCAAACTCTTCTGTAGCCAAACCCATCAATTCCAGTCACTTTTGAGAGATTTATCTCCAGTTATCTGAAGAAATCGCTCCGTTTCTACAATCGGCGACAAAATTGTTGAGACATTGTACTTAACTAGGGTAACTTCAGAGAACAAAAGAATCCGCACCTCTCCCCTGTCCTTTCCATTCAAAGTTGGGGTGTTTGTTGTTTTCTATAGGTAGCTAGAACAAGGGCACAACATTGCACGGAGGGGATGGGGGAGGAAAGCAATATTTCCTCCTTTTGAAGTTAATAAAACGTAAAAAAGCCCAGTTTTGGGCGAAGTGTCTCAACTCATTTTGCCGCCGATTGTCTGAATCGAAATCTACGCGCTGTTGTCTTATTAGCATCGGTTAGGAGACGGTAACTAGTTGAGATTACTATATTCACCGGGTCGTTTTTCAGAAGATAGATAAAATACCCATATAATCCCTTTCCTGTGTTTTTCGAAGGAAAATTAGTTTTGACAATCTTTGTACTCGGTAGTGTTTTCAAGTAATTATGCAGCATACCCACGTACCGAATGGTTGATTTTCCTCTGGTAACTAAGTGTGATCGGTAGGAATCGATGGCAGATAATATATTGTATTTGAATATATCCCTAGTAAGTTCAAAGTGTTTATTCGAAGTTTGGCTATTTGGGTGTGATGGACGATAAAATAGCCACGATTGCTATGCGCTGGAGAATTTTCAGGAAAAATGTTCCAACTTCTAACGCACAGCAAAGCGGCATAGCATCGCTAAATCTGTGTAGCAGATTCGTTGCTCATACACCCATAAGGGTCTTTGAAGAATGTACTTTACAGTAGAAACTATGAGGTCAGGAGGAGACTGGCCACGAGTAACCACGAGTAACCAACTTTGTTCTTAAAAGATAATCAGATTATTATATTTTGTACTCATCGTGGTTACTCGTGGTTACTCATGGAAATTCCCCCTAAAGAGCAATTTTAGCCACTATAACTACTTTAATGCCTAGAAATCTATTAAGTTTTCTGTCCTTTTCACTTTTTTCTTTGTTTCTATGCGCTTCGATAAAGGAGAGAACAAGAAATCGTGCGCGACGCGCCACATCGCACGATGTCAAGGCACGGTTAAGCGTGACACGAAATGTCACGCACTGAAAACAGGGAAACCGCCTTATTCTAATTGTTCTAAAATAGGTATGATGAAGTCGAACACAACAAATAAAAAGCCACCGGGCGTCTTACATCACAGCATAAAGAAACTAAATTCTATTAACTTTCTAAAGGACGTACGGCCACTTTTGAGATTCAGACAATCGGCGACAAAATTGTTGAGACATTGTACTTAACTAGGGTAACTTCCCCTGTCCCCTCCATTCAAAGTTGGGGTGTTTGTTGTTTTCTATAGGTAGCTAGAACAAGGGCACAACATTGCACGGAGGGGATGGGGGAGGAAAGCAATATTTCCTCCTTTTGAAGTTAATAAAACATAAAAAAGCCCAGTTTTGGGCGAAGTATCTCGACTCATTTTGTCGCCGATTGTAGGGAAAAAACAGCCTTCTTCCAAACTGAAAAGTATCTCTGTGTTGTCTCAAAATGTTGAAAATGCTTCGCCATAATTTCGTATAATTTTGTTATAATGTTTGATGTTGGGATAAAAATAGGTAAACTCAACAAGACAACGTCTTTGTAAGACAGTTCGAAACAACAAAAACTAATTTTCACCTAACTAACCACATTAGGTCGCGGTGGAGCAATCGGCTAATCCTCGATTAAATTAATTATTTATTGTCAGGAGCCGATTACTTAGCCATTACTAACACCAAGTAATCGGCTCCTGTTATTGTAGCCGAAAGAACTCGAAGTGATCTCCGAGATATCTCGAATCAATTCAAACCGCAAACTTACGAACTTTGCGTGCCCAATCCGGTCCCAAAAAAAAGTAACTTTGGGACATTCCAGAGCGTCGCCAATCCTTTACTTGGCGCTTCGCCTAAGTAAAAAGTAATACAAGTCGTTATAATCAGCTTTGCAGAAGTCTTTGGACTACTCGGTTTTTGTTTTTAGCTCTCAGAGTCACGCCGGCTTCCTTCGATTCCTTGCGACAAGCGAAAGCACAGCCAATAATAATCCTTCGAATCTTATGCGCTTCGATTGAAAGATTTTTAAGACATACTGATCCTACCCCGTACCCACTATGAACAACGGACGAGCTAGCTAAAGGTCAGCGGAGTTGAGCAGAAATTTACCCAGAACTCCCCAGAACTCCAAAAAATTTCGCGGTCTTCGCGGTAAAAGTCGAGTTTCAAGAAACATCGTCTGAAAGACTATTTTTTCATGGTCAGTTGGTTAACGTGATATTCATGTCTTCTTTATGATGGCAAACTTTGGCAACGGTAGCCTTTTGGGGAACCAAAAGAGGCGCAATTTCATCTATAATCCATCTGTTTCTCGTCACCTAGCGCAAGAAAGTGGCGCCCAACTTCGATCCCGGGTGCCTAACATTAAGCATGAATCTCCGTATAAAAGGTTCAAAAACTCGAATGGCTTGCCGACAAAAAGACTAGAGGAGATTGTTACAGAAGATGCGTGCCGTCTACCATCAGATGCTTTTGATGAGGAGATAGTTGATGATTTTGATGATGAGTTGTTGACAGCCGAACAGCTTGACCAGTGTGATAGAATGGTTTCACGAGAGCTAGAGACGCAGCGGACAGACCATAATGTCGATTTTATCGCCAATTTACCACAGAAAGACGAGCATCGTAATGCGTCAAGGAACTTTATCCCCTCTGCCTCACATCTAGACCGTGGACACGTATCCTCCGATGAAGACGAGTTGCTTGCTTCTCATTGCACTCAAGACTATGCCACTTATTCCACACCCACAAAAGCCCATACAAACTTTACTGATCTACCTGGATTCCCAGTAAATGGTTCCAGGATCCGACGAGCACCAGTGATCACAAATCCAGAGGAGACTGCAAATCTCGGTGTCAAAACAGTGGTGAAAGGTGATTCATTATTCGAAACCTTTGTGGAACACGCTTGTGGCCCAAGCAACTTTCTGCCTAAAAGTGATACAGATTTTGTTACTACTGAGGGAAAGGCTTCCGTTGCCAGTAATTTTGATAATAACTTCCATGATCATTCCAGAGATGAACAAATGAATTCATTAAGAAAGGAAATTGAAAAATTAAAAACAGAGTTTATGTCTTCAAATGCCAAAGTCAAAAGACTTGAAGACGAAAAGTTCTGTAAAGATGGGGAGATCAGGATATTAAAGGATTCTCTGAGTCACTTTGAAAATGAGGAGAAGAAGAGACAAGCAGAGGTTAAGGCCATCGCAGAAAAACAAGCGAGAGAACAAAGCCAACATGAGAAAGAATTACAAAAACAAGTTGAAAACTTAACTACACAAATTCAGTTTAAAGATCGGGAAATCTCTCAACTAGTCGAAAGAAACAAGAAAAGATCAAGTTCTTCGACAGAGTTGTGCAGTACTCCACAAAAGAAACCTGTGAACTTAAGTGAGGTTTTCCCAACTGGAAGCTCTTTCTTCCAAAAAAAGTCTCCTGAGACAAAGGTGAAATCACCTAGGGGTACTAAACTGAATGTGAAGAATATGGAAACTCCTGGTAAAAGCAACTCACAAAGACTCTCGGAGGGAGACAATTCTGAGAGCTCAGTACAAAGTGCAACGTCAAGCAGAGCTTCAACTATTGAGAGAACAAGAGCTCAACGCAGAGAGGCCGAAGTCAGGGAAAGGCAAGCTGTCCAACTTTTCTCCCAAAATTTTCAAGATGTTGAACTTGTTCAAAACTTGATATCACCACAAGAGAAAGAACTTAACATTCCTTTCCAAGAACCTTGTAACAGAACGTTAAATTATGGTAGCATAATTTCACTTTTGACTCTTGACCGTTCTCCTTTAAGCTCTTGCAGTGTAACCCAGAGAACAACACTTAATGACACAGATACTTCACACACCCTGCGTCTTTTTGACACTCAAGCAACTTCCAAACTGCAGAGATCTATTGCTGTTTTAACTCAAAAGGACTCCCTATCTGACAACCAGGATAACTCCTTAGTGCTGCAAACTTTGTCTGTACTTTTAAACCACTGTCACACACAGCGAGGCAGTGAAAACATGACTTTGCCATCATCGTCTAAGCATTGCACGTTATCTCCAGCCACCAATTTTCTTCCTTTAATAGAGAGCCATATTGCAAATTATGTGGAACAGAGGACAGACAGTGGTGATGAAAACTTCTTGGGCACATGTTTACCAAGAAGTTCCCCAACACCTGATTCCCCAGATCCAAGGGACAACCCCAGTTTTGAAAGTGATCAGACAAGAAATCTTGCTTTCTTGCAGGAAATTGCTCTTATTTCCCTGACACTACTAAATATTATTGTACTGTACAGTAGTGAAGTTCATGAATTCATTTTAAAATCTGCAAGAGTGTTTAGTGAAAGTGAGAGTGATCATGAAAATGACAAAATGGTGGACAGAGAAGATGAAAGACAAAAGGTAAACATTGTGCAAGTATTGTTAACAAAGTATCTACCAGTCATCATTTTAAAATCATTTTCTTCTGTCTTTTAGATCTACGGTGAAGTAGGGGAAAGTTTTGGATAAGTCCAAAAACAACCGTTATATTCTTACTGAGATTGGATTGTAGCAGATTTTTAGGTGGCTGTGGCTTTCAGGCAACCTGCTAAAATCACCGTCTAGTTGACACAGAGGTTTTGACTTCTGACAGACAAATATTTTTTAAGTGGAACAATAAATCCATCGTATTTCACTTTATTTTGGTTCCCAACACTTTTGTTTGGTTGATACAAATGTGGGTAAAGAAGGTGTAATCCTCATGGCTGGAACTAATACCTGGTTGCTAAAAATGCACCAAAATGCACTTTTTATGAACCTCAGATGAAATGAAAGGGGTAAGCTGCTTCCCATTACTAACCCCTACTGACGATTCTTCCACATGAATGACTTGCTTATCGATTTCGATATCGGAGGTAGACCAGACACGACCAGGGTCTTTGCCTAAAAGCAAGCTCTCCATTAATTCTAGGAGTTGTGGGAGGGTGAACGTTACGCTATTATTGAGGTGCCATCTTTCCCCTGCCCTAATCTTCATGCTGCACTCTTGCATAAACTTCAACCCTCACTATTTTAGGATGGTGAATAAAATGCTTGATGGCTACCCAGGGTTTTTTTCCTGTGCTCTTTTTAAATAGCAGTGAGCATCCTGTGGATACTAAATACCGCTGTGTGTAGTTCTTAAATATAGACCCGAAACTCAGACAAACAAACTGAAATTAACATTAGCGAATTCCTCACTTTTGTCTGACTTTTGTCCTTAAAATGAGAAAAATGACAAAACTCAGACAAACATTGAAAATTAGTCACTTTGACGTCATTTGTGCAATACACTATTGTAATTTTTTTCTTTTCTGTAAATGCAGATATTCTCCAGTGAAGAAGGAGAAGGAAGCTTTTGTCAGCACCCATTGTTTTCAAGTCTCAAAATTGCCATCAACAAGGTAAGATCAAACATGCTGTCAAAGCTATTCTGGAATCGACAGTTTGTGTTGTTTTTTTGTTTGCTTGTGTTCTAGCTATAAAGCTGTACCATTTATCTATAATGTCTTATAATATCTTGTTATTTCCAAGGATCCCAACAGGCAAATGGAAGTAACTACAGAGAAAGGTATGGCTGATAGAGTCAGCAATTAAACAGTAGGGCCGAGTTGTTCAAAGCTGGGTTAAGATAACCCAGGGTTAGTGCCAGATTTGAATTCAGATTTGAAAGCTTAAAAAGAGTTTCAGTTTTAATTGTTTTTGTCTACAAGTTGATGATTGAAAGCTCTAAATATAACAGGAAAAAATTATCCGAGAAAATGCTTTTGAACACAAGAAAGAGAAACCCGGGTTAAATTTAACCCTGGGTTAAGCGCTAATCGGCCTTCGAACAACTGGGCCCAGGTTGTTCAAAAGTTTGATAACGTTGGATTTATTTAGTGGATAGTGTTTCCCTAATACCTATCTACTGGATTGTGACTTATCCAGGTGTTAGTATATACAAAACAGGTGAAGACTTGTGTAGAAGAGAGCAAATTCAGCAATTAAACAAATTCAAATACATGTACTGTGAGACAAGGGAATCTGGCTTGTTTACTGTCTCCAGTCTAGGTGTTATCCCCCTTGACTGACTGGAAAGGGATTACTGTCCATCTTAATTATCAAACAAAACGTCCTTTTGTGCTCTATGATCGGCTAGCCTTGATGGTGAATAAAATTGACCATTGATAGCTCAGGGGCGTAGCTAGGGAGGGGGGGTCCTGGGGTGCCCGTGACCCCCCCTTGGTAGGCCTTCTTTTGAGCAAACAACCTACAATATTTAGGTGGCGAAAACGCCATGACAATATCTTGGCCATAAAAGCCATTGTTGAAAAGCCCACTTTTTTAAAATTTGTTTTTTTGTAAAGTATTTTCGTCAACGGCTCTTGTCTTTAGTTAATATGGGACTTCATGCCGCAATAATACGACTGAACCCGCTGATACACGAGAGAGAGCAGCAGTACAAACAATATATAGTCGGCGATCCCCGGATGGTGTCCCTGCTGTGACCCCCCCTTTGAAAAATCCTGGCTACGCCCCTGTAGCTGAGCAACCATTTTAATTGTGTGAAGGAGTTTGACTCATCCCCCTCCCCTAGAAAAATTAATTTACAATAATTATTGATGTTGAGGTAATGGCTTTTGATTTTTGCTTTTAGATGTCAATACAAGCAGAGGAGAAAATGTTGTTGAATGTACAGAGCTGCTGGGCTACCTTTTCAAACTGTTGGTACCTCAACCAGTGAGTTGTAACTACTGTGAACATATTTTTGTTTGTTGTTTTGTTCAGTAACTAAGCCTCTGCCTAGTTGTGATTGTCTTTGTTTTTTTTACATTTTAGTTATGGGTTAGTAATGTCTACGAAGCAGTGCTGATGTTCTTTTTCTGGGCCCCAGTAAACAGTCTCCTTGGATTACTGGAAATGCATTTTGATTTTCCCTTCAACCTGATTGGCAAATCGACAATGACATTTTTAACAGACTAATCATGGCGCATACCCAAATCCTGGTACACAGGTGGGGACCCAGAACAAGGATTTCAGCCCTGTTTTACAGAAGGACTTAACCAGAAGTTTAGTTCCATCTGTGGCACAGGCTATTTATGGGTTTGAGTAATGGGTATGAAGTAATTTTCAAATATACCCTCTAATCTTACCTAGTCGTGGTCTTCTGTTGTGCCTGAAAAAAATTTCACTCAGCTCTACCTTCAAATAACCTGGGCAGGTAGTTATTCTGTTGTTTCAATATTTATAGCAAAGTACTAGAATAATTTTGCAGCTCACCATTTCATTAAATATTACATGATTGTGTGAAGAAAGTTAAATTTCAATGTAGCAAGATAAAGAAGGCCAGGCTGAAGATAATTTTTTCACATAAGAACACATCTCATAGTTAAATAAATATGACAAATTATATTATAATTGAACCAATATAACATTCTTTGAGCTTAGTGGACATGGCAGTTGCATGATTTTCATAATGAAGCACAGTATGTTAATATCGTTGCCTTGGTGTTGTACTGCCTTTTATTTTCATGCAACGTATCCTGCCTCTCCTCCAATAAAAATTCTGATTCTTGGGTCATGAATTCTTGGGTAATTTTCTCAGAAATTATTTTTTCATAAGAGTGACTTCTTGTTTTGATTTTTTTCTAGAAAGAATCTATGGTTGTTACTTATGCTACACTGCAAGTTTTAATATCTCTGTCAAAAAATTGTGAAGTAAAGTATTGTACAAGGTTTGTTTGTTAGTAATTACTGCATGTTATGGGATAATTTACTTTTGTGATTCTAGTAAAATTTTTGGTCTGATACACTCATGATCGCAGTAATGGCCAGGGTCTGGACAGGTATTTTCAGGATCCGGGATATGACCAGCATTTTATATTTATTATTACTATTATTATTATCATTATTATTATTATTATTGTTGTTGTTGTTGTTGTTGTTGTTATATGGCATAGCATATATAGTAAATTTTTCTATCCTCATGTTATCTTTTAATTTTCCTCCAATTAGAATGTTGCCATTACTGTCTGAGAGTCTGCTTACTCAGTGTCTGTCCAGGGACTGGTGCTTAACATCACTGTCATTGGTCACATCACTCCTTACCCCTCTAATACGACACCAAGGCATAGTGAAAAGGCTGTGTTCTCAATCAGGTAAGTGCTATAATAATATTATGATAATCTTGATTTAAATTATCGTTACTGCTGGCAATTTGACTGTAGGTAAAAAGTAAATTATTATAAATCATTAAACTGCTATGATTGATTCATCAGTAAGGGGTTTGTTGGACCAATGGAACAAACATGGTGTGTGGACAGGTGTTATTTTTTCTGCACCTTCCCCCATCATGTGTGTCTGGTGTTCTTCTCTTGCTTCGTGCTTGCTTTTGCTCACCTGAAAAATTGAAACAATAACACCTGTTATGCAGGCTAGCACTTTGCCAAAAGTGTTAAGCTTGCTTGTCACTAGCGGTGCAAGCACAAGCACAAGCATAACAGAAGAGTAAGCATGATGCAAGCATACAATTTAAGCATAAAATAATATGAGCATAAGAAAGTTAAACACTTGTTGGGATGGTTGTCACATAAGCGTAAGCATAAGCTAAACATAAGAAGAACACAAGGTTTTCATATAAAAAAAATTGTTGTGTCCATACATAGCTTATGTAAAGGCCATCCACACTATTGCGTAAACTCCTTATGCTCTAACTTATGCTTATGCTTGTATCGCTAGTGAGAACCATGCTATGTTCATGCTTATGTTCAAGATATGCTGTTCCTATGCCCCTTTATATCTTCAGTCCTTGTTTTTAATTCAATGCTAACTTAGTGGTTTCATTGTCAAAAGGTGAATGCTTTTTATTGAAGATCTACCAGGGCTGGCTGTTTAGACCAGAAGATGTTTCTGTCCATGATTATCAACAAGTTCATTTACAGGTACCAAATAACACAACAATCATGATATCTATGTTGTTCATGAGGCCCTTACAGAAGTGGTTCAAATTTTTTTGTTGTTCTTTTTTTCATTCCTCAGATTGTTAGCTTTGTAAATAACCTCCTTTCAAACAATGACGCATCAATTTTGTTTTTTCATCCGGAGAGTGAATGCCACTGCAATATTGAGGTGAGAGTCTACATGTACCTAATGGTAAATCTTAAATTTCAGCCTGCCCTTTGGATGAACATTGTCAGTCTTAGTTAATAATGTAGAATAACATAGCTGAACCCTTCACTGTCCCATTTGGCAAGTGGGCATAAAAAGTTTATCATCTACCAAGAAAATCTGTTTGTCTCAAACAACCAGGATTTAGGATTTAGGGCCTTGCCTTTTTCTTTTTGTTTTTCCTTGTCATTAACCCTTTAAGCCCCGATGTCCACATATAAATTCTCCATACTGACCTTCATACATTACCTTAAAAAATAGTTGAGAGAATTTTGTAAAAGATCAAAGCATTTTTCCTTTGGTGATCATTTTATTAACTCTCATAACCATTTCTCTTGGTAACATATGGATATTGTTAGGAGAATATTGATGTTGGTCACTATCGGGACTTAAAGGGTTAACATAGAGGAGAATAAAGAGAAAAAAAGTTTCAAAAACACTTCTTTTAAAAAAGGGCAGGCTACCTTTACCTTGGTAGTGGGATCTATGTTATGTTGTAGGTCAAAATTAATTTTAGCTTCAAGAATTTTGGATCCTTGTTTGATTCTCTAAACCCAAATGTTTTGGGCTAGTAGACAAGGGAAAAAGAGAATTACCCTAGGTTTAGTTATTTAACTTCAATTTAATTTTGATCTATAACATATTGTAATAATGCATGGCTAGAAAGGATCCGTTATTTTTGTAGGAGGGGTGTCCACTTGATATTTCTTTTCTCTAAACTTCAGTCAAGTTTTCTTGTTTTATCTCTTGTCATCTCTACCTTTATTTTAGCCAGTTTGAAAAGGTAAAGGTATTACATGGAAAGTAAATTCTTTCCTTGTACTTTGTAGCTGGTAAAGTGTCTTGTGTTGATGTTGGATAAAGTGGTCACTTCCCTTGTTCAAGTTTCATACGATTCACTGTTAAAGGATTCACAAAACCGGTGAGTGAGTTTCTGTAGAGACTGAAATGTTTATGAGGTAGCAACAAAAACATTCTCTTTATAATTCTGTTTTGTTCTTCAATAGTATTGTATTTTATTACTATTTGACACTTGCGTACCGTAAATGATCTGATGGATGCCCTGCGTTTAATCTTGGGAGCCTAAGCGAGGGTTGGCATTAAGCAATTAGCAATGGGCAAACTCTTGTCAATTAAACAAGAGACATGAAGGAGACCATAACATTAGCCAGGGGATGTTTATAAGACAAGGGTATCTAGTACAAACTTAACAGAGTAGGGGGGTGTTTATTAGACAAGAGGCATTTATCTAAGAAATGGTGTCTGTCAGATCATTTTGCGGGAGATAGTTGTTAGGGTGGCTCCAAATTAACCAAACAGGCTTCTAAAGTACCGGTATATAGAAGACCATTTGAAACATTTCTGAAGTATTTATTTGTGGTCATAGAAATAGGTTATAAGGAGTTTGAAACAAATAAAAATAAAGTGCAAACCAAGGATAATTTTAAACCACTAAACATTTATACACAAACATACACCGGTAACATAAATTAATGTACTATGGGAAACTGCAAGATAAAGAAAAGCAGTATTAGTAATATATTAAAATAATAATAATAATAATAATAATAATAATGATAATAATAATAATGATAATAATAATAATGACAATATTAACAACATACAGTATTTTAGGATCTTCTAAAATGATGCCATTCACTCATCTGTTGTTTGATATTGTTCCAGGCAAAGTCTGGTGTTGCTACGGCAGAGTGTGTTCCTACTGGCAACCTTGTGCCTAAATGACCGTCTTTTTGTGGAGCATCGCGTTGAAGTGGAACATCAGTATGTGAATGTTATCAGCAGTGTGACCAGGTTGTATCAGCGAATTACAGGACTTATTTCAGAAGCGGAGGGTAAGTGATTTTGGGTGTAAGGGTGGAACTGTTCTTGCTGTAGAGTCCAAATGATTGGGTGCGTGGAATAACACAATTGGTGACTCCTTGTCTAATGTCAAAATCCCCCTTTGGTTCACCATCACATACAAGGCAAGTTGGAGGTAATATTTTGCAGTTAACTGAAAGTCACTTGGGGATATAATTCCAGGCACCCCTTCATTACTGTACGACCCTAAAGACCATCATTTGTATTCGTTTCCTAAGCACTCTTATCTTTCACTCACAGACCTCTCCCTTTCTTTAATTAGTAACATGTGTACCATTGTAGAATAAAATACTGTACCTTAGTTCATTGTTAGCCTGCTGTGCAGCCATTTTCTGGGGGGTTAGGGTTTGACAAGAACTAGAATTCCGTTGGGTTGTGGTACACAGGGGAATACGTTACAGGAGGCAGGGAGGAGGGCAGGGCTAGGGAGACAGCCCCACGCTACTGATTATACTTTTTACTCTCATCATTATCATCATCATCATCACTTTGATCATCAAACTTTCTCTGTCTTCAAAATCAAAGATAAGGGGCTTGCACAGGAAATGATTGGTATTCTGTCTCCAATATGCTAGGATTTTATCACCTCTGCAACCATAATTAAATTTTGTTTTGTGTTTAGTTCTTGCCGTTCAAGACCTTGTGGATTTTGAACGCATTGATGGAATTGATTGGTCTCAAGAGTCTGAAGATGAGATTGATGAAACCACTGAAGGAATGGATGTTGATGAGTGAATGCAGCATTAACTGAAATGGAATAAGAAGTGTTCTTCTCCATACAGCCCTTTGCAAAAGTGTTTTTCAGCCATAATTATGCCTTATTTAGTAAACTTTATTCTCAGCGGAGAATATCCTTAAGAAGGATCCCAGCTTCCCTTCTGCTTCAAAGAGGCATGTGCCTCATGTAGCTTGCATAGCAAGCATTTTCCATCGAGTTATTGCGCGAAAGTTTGAGTGAGAGCCAAAAATGGAGGAAGGGGGATGGGGAGGGGAAAAGACGAAACTTTTCCTTTCTCTCCTCCCCCTCCCCCTTCCCCTTCATTCCTATTTTTTGCTCTTGTCCTAACTTTTTCGACGAAGGCTATGCTTGATGGAGAGTTAGACAGAGACAGATTTATTGGTAGTGAACTTAAGCGACGACAAAGTAGCCACCGATATTCAATGAAAAAAGATATTACAGGGTATATTTTCAGCGTTGAGCATACAACTTGTGATTAACAAACACAAACTAACAAGGACTCTAAAGCTTAAGCTCTGAAACATAACTACTTTGATTGTCATGTCGTGGTAGTTATCTCCAAAAAGAAAGAATGTCTGCAGCAATAATTATTGACAAAGATGTTTCTTCTTCAATTTAGAATCTTTCATTTTCCACCCTTTTCTAGCTCTTGGATGGGAGATAAAATACCTAGGGAACTAACTTGTTTCTAAGGCTGAGTGAAGGCTTGTTGTACTCTTCGTTATTTAAAATGGCGTTCTAAATCGGCAATTCTGTCAGTCGGCGCAAACTCATAAAAAGAAAAAAAATAGTTTTTATACAATTTGTTTTTATTTTTGTACTGGTGTTCTTTTTCTTTGGTTGTCTCTTCTTGTATATAATGTTAAAGAAAATATTGCCTCCCATGAGGCCTACCTAATTGTTATTCTGTGAGTGATAGTACTGTATACTGTAGTTTAATGATTTAAGACGACAGAGGAAAAGTCCTTCAGATGTAGTTGTAAATAGTTTTCGATGGTATTGTATTGTTTCTAAGTTGATTATAGACTAATCCTGGCTAACATCTGCTAAAATCATTCACAAAATTACCTTTGAACAGCCAGAAGTAAAAAAAGGTAAATTCTAAGAAGTAAAACGAACCAATCTTTTTTTTTAATCAGAGGAAAAAAGAAAATAAATGTTTTAAAGTTGCAGTTTGCCATCCGTAACTTTGAAATTTTCAAGGTGGCATCTTGACTAGAAATATTGCCCTTCAATTGACCTTACACCCCAATATGATTTTATTGGTTCATCTCTTTTGTCTTTCCTACAGCACCCATATTTTCGAACCTCTTGTGACTTCTTCCTTTTGTCTTCGGGTAACAAGGAAATCTTAGTTTTCGCACTAAAGTTTAAAGTTTTTTTTTGTTTAATTCTGGAAACCCTGGATTCCATGGGCTCATAGCTTTTGTACTTTCTTAGCTTTGTTTTCAGCGTTCCTTTGGAAAACTGCAAATACTGATTGTTGAATCCAAAGCCGATTTTCAGGATTTTTCGTTTCATTATGAATCTAAAGAATCTCCACACCTCCTAGTTATTTACTTCAAGGGTTAATGATCGGCTCCTTTTTCTTGGATATGATCCGGAAAAAGCACGCGTGACAAATAGTCGTCGTCTTGTGAAAAATTGAGTCTCGCCACGTTCTACCAGTTTACGACCTTACGAAGTACTAGCTGCACTGTTCTGTCACGCTTAAAAGGCCATTTTATATTCGTCGTAACGAACCCGCGTGTTATGTAATTTTTAAAAGGGGAGGGAGAGAAAAGTGCGAAAGTGGGAGGGAGCCCTTTACTTTCTCCCTAAATTCCGATCCTGGGGCCCGTTTCTCGAAGCTCCCGGTAATTACCGGGCCCGTTAAGCTGTTTTGTTTTCCATTTTAGAAGGAAGTTTTAAAAGTTTTGAAAATTATACAGTAGAGTTATTAGCTAACGAAACAAAACGGACTTCATTAGAGGTCAGAACACACCCTACTTTTCTTGAGACTTTGGTTTAAAAATATGATTCCGGGCCCGTTAAGTTACCGGGACTTTCGAGAAACGGGCCCCTGGGGCCCATTTCTCGAAAGTCCCGGTAACTTTTCGGGCCCGAAATCAAATATTCAAATCGAAATACAAAGAATAAGAGCGCGGGTCCTGGATAGCAGACTACTCCATTTTGTTTCACTAACTGATAGTTTTATCACGTTAGATGCAAAAATATTGAAACCTCGATCTTTAATGTAAACGGAGACAGCTTACCGGGCCCGTTACTTATCGGGACTTTCGAGAAACGGGCCCCAGGCCAGAAAGGTTCGAGTGCTATGGAACTGTGGTGTTTCTTGTCACGCAACTAGAGAAGGTTGTGTGACTGAGACTTTCTCGCAAGGCACAACGGGAAGGCTTTGTGTTGGCGGTTGAACGTGGAGACACATTTCGAATGAATGTGTGTTCGTGTTCAATAATATGAGTCTTTTTCGTCGTTGTTACACCTTTGTACGAGAACCTTTGTCAATTCGACAGGTTTTCTTACCTCGCACGTTAGTAAGCCATGGATTTGCCATTCTTAAGACAAAACCTGCTAAAGTAGAGATTCCGAAGCACCCTCCAAATTCGTTCATGTTGTTCGTGAACGCTAACCGCTCTCTCACTCAGAGCGAATACCCGGACAAGAAACCTAAAGAAATCATGTCACTTTTGTCCGATAAGTGGAGGAAAATGTCTGAAGACGAAAAGGCTCCATACAAGAATGCTTATGCTTCAAGGATGAAAGAATACAACGCGCCATTGGCAAAGATCCCCAAGAAACCCCCGGGCGTGTTTGGTTTGTTTTTGAAGGAGAAGTACTCCGAAGTTGAATCCAATAATCCTGGTGTTAAAACCCCAGAAATTATGTCTGCTATATCCGATGAGTGGAATGGTCTTTCAGATTCGGAGAAAGAACAATGGCAAGAGAAACGGGAGATACTAATGCAGCAGTACAAGGAGAAAGTGATGAACTTCGGGCATGGAATGTCCGCGGAGGAGCGCGCTTTTATCGAGAAAAAGCGAGGCGCATTGGTACACAAAATCGAGAAAGAAAAGAAAACGCTGTTAGGGTACCCTAAAAGGCCGCTTTCAGCTTTTATTCTTTTCTCCCAAAAGAACGCCGAAGCGGAGGGTGTGGCAAACCTTCCTGTAGCTGAACGAGCGAAAATAATGGGGCGCAAATGGCGCGAATTGTCCTCAGTAGAGAAGGAGGTGTACTTTGAGGAAAGCCGCAAAGCACGTGAAAAGTTTCAAAAGGATGTAGCAGAGTGGAAGGAAAACAACCCAGAAGATGCATAAAATGTTAAAAATGTACTGTAGTAACTTAAAATTCTTGTGAGAAACAAAGGGAATAGTGTGTAAAATGGTTACTGGTTTGAAACTAGTAACTTACATATGTCTGGATGGTAACTGTAGAGTTTCCTATGGTGATATTCCACCAGACTGTGAATGGGCCCTTCAGTCTTCCTAGAGGTCTGTACTTGTAGGGCACTTTTAATCAGCCAACGAACAGGCTTGGTTGGTTGTTCACATGCTCTAATGTGTAAGTCAGTTTGAATCAGGAGCCCATAAACCAGAGCGCGCAACTTCCATGTGCTCATGTCACAGTGCTTTCATGGACGAGTTTATTTTTAGAACAGTTTGATGGAAGTTTTGAATATCCTTTAAATTTCACAAACTAGTCAGCAAAACCTATAGACCAAAAAATGATATTAATGGTTAGTTTTCCTTTTTGATATCTTGTACTTCAGAGATTCTATTTTCACAGGAAAAAGTGCCCTTAAATGTGCTAAAAATAAACTGGTTCATAAAGACGCCTTGACATAGGCCTAGTATGGGAGTTGCTCACTCTGGGTTATGGGCTCCCTTTTTTAACTGTCTCCCCCCCTCACTCCAGGCAGAGTGACCTGGAGTGAGGAGGGCCTGTTTGTAAGAGGTGAGCCAGCCTGCTCTTGTCACTTTTTCATGAATACAACAAAAATTTTATATTAAGAAACAAGCCATAAGCTGAGCCAGGCGAGTAAGGTGGACCCCCATATACAAGGACGGGGATGCTTGTCATCTCGTTCAGGGGTTAAATTGCAAATTTTGCCGTCAGTCAGGGTGTTTTGACCAAAAATTGTTATAATTGCCCATTCAAATATTACTTAGGGTGGTGCTTAAAGAAATTTACCAAAAAATGCTGTGACACTGACCACACAGAAATCTAACATTTCAAAAAGAACACAACATCCCTGGCACGACACGACACACTTCAACTCTTATTTAGATGTCTGGTTTAGTATGGTCTACTTCTTGAGGGGTCAGTTTAAACTTGAGCCACACCCACATTGGTCTCCCTTAGGGGTTTACGGTACGACTACTGTAACCGGGGCCACTTAGACAAAGTTGACCAATCAGAATACTGGAAAATGACAATACATTCCAATTAAGTTGGTTATGGGCCAATCAGCAGCTTGTAAAAAAAAAACAATAAGTTACTCAAAGTACAAAATTTAAATATTAATAGCAAAAGTTTTTCAAGAAAGCAAAATGTTTCACCAGACAATGTCTTTGTATTCGAAACTTTACTTATAACACACAGGAGACATTATTTGTTGGACACAAGCTGTCATTGAATGTCATGTACCAGCAATTTCTTTGTTACCATTGCCTCGGTTTGAAATAACATGTGACCTCAGGTCAAAATTATAACTAACGTTTATACTTTTTGCCTCCGTCGGTCACTCTAAGGGACCTCAGGAAACGTTGGCTTTCTTCAGCTGGTTCAAAATGTCACGTCTGTAGGTTGTGATTGGTCAATATCAATACAAGTTTATTTCGTTTCAAGGTAATTTTGATTGACACCTAACTTTCTCGGAATATGTGTAGTTATTTTCCTATAATCCGATTGGTCAACTTTGTCTTAGTGGCCCCAGTTATAGTACTTGCACTGTTATTTTTATTTTTTGACAATCATCCCTGTCACTTTTACGTGGGAGTCCCCCTTCCAGGAGCATGACAAGCTTAGGTAATTTGGAATTAAAGCAAGAGCACACTCTACTGCAAAAAGGACACAATCACATGAGTTAAGGGCTTAGTATGCTTGAACCCAATTTCTTGAGCCAGTCAGACACTGTAATGTTACCCCCAGTTTCTCAAACCTCTGGATAATAGCATGAATTTGCTTTTTCCCAAGGTGCTGTGAGAAACAGAGATTCCACTGCACTTGGGATTGGTTTGTGTTAATTGACTGTGCATTACGCAATTTCATTACCTCACAAAGCAGTTGCAAATCAGACCTTTCTTTGGCTTGCTCATGGACACATCAAGTTCTTCTTCCCCAAGAATGTGCACTCTAATAACAGAGGTAACATTCTGGAATTTCTGAAACAATAGACTCTTTGAGATCCCTTCACTCATGTTTCTCATGAGCTTTCTTTCTTCAGTTGTCTAGGTCTACTTGTAGAGATTTAAATAATGTTGGAGACCTGTTGAATATTTATTTTTATAATAGATAAAAGAAGTTACCTCTTTTAAAGGATAAGATTACAATAATGTTATTACTCATGAATGAAAATTAACTGTTAACTGGTAACTAAAAAACAATAAGAACTTATAGTTTTTCAGATAATTGTTTTCAAATAAAGTTGTTTAGTTATTGTTATGTTACTTGCTAGTTACATTTCCTGAATACCCCTAGAAAAATTGGTGCGAGTCTGATAGAACATTAACCGCAAAATATTTTCCATACTCTATTTTGGTAACACTTGGGTTTTTCAAATGTAAAGAAAAGAAAAGTAAGCTTAATCTCAACAACATGAAAAGCCTTTGGATTGTTTCACTTAATGAAAGGCACATTTGCTGAACTCCTATCTGCGACTTTCACGTTCCCCATAATGCAATAATTTGTTTTCCCCACAATATTCTCCATAGACTTTTTGTCTCAGGAGATTTAAAAAGCTTTTTTTATGCGCGGCTTGCCTCGTTCTCTCTATGAGGCTAGCCGTGCATAAACAAAGCTTTTTAAATCTCCTGAGTCAAAATGGCTGCCACGTGACAAAGGTCTATAAGTTTTTGTTTGTTTTCAATTTTTCTAAGGCACGATTATTTGTTCCAAGAGAAACTGAAAACAATTCTTACGCAAAAGTTTGTGGGGAAAGCAAAGTGTATCTATCCAAAGCTTGTCCATGGCCGCCCTCCAACTAAAATTGGGAAACCTGTGGTCAGACTAACTGCGCCGAGAAGCCTGGAAACTAACGGAACAAAGATGGCGACTGTTTCCTCTAGATGTCTTGCAAGGTCTAAAAAGGACCATTTCGTTGCAGTAAGAAGCACATTGAAACGTATGGGTGTCTTAAGGAGAAGCAGGCATACAGAATGTAAGGTTGAGCTTGAAATTGGAAACCAGTGAGTATCCGAATATTTGATTTCCGGAAGACTGTTCTTCACGTGGCAAAGTAATATTGAGCTTAAGCTTATATGTTGTGCCCATAAACTCAAGCTTATATTGAATTCTAGACCTACATTTATTAAATTTTATTAAGCTGTTTGACCTCTGTTGTCTATACACCACAGAACAATGACATTATCAACGGGAAAGATCGCCAAGTTAGCTGATGGAGCTGTTGTTGCGGAAGTAAGTTGGTTACGTTTGATAATATTATGCATATAGTAAGGGCATACAATTTCACACAAATAGTTGAACGTGTAGAGCTGTACGGAAATCTTACTGAATGCAATGGTCACGCAGTGGTTACCTTTTAATTTTTAGATGATCCATTTCTCAGTATGCATGGACAGCCTTAACGTAAACCCTCCCCCACGTGGGACCTCTGGGCTTGACTTGGGGGATAGGCTGGGGGAAAGAGCTGAGAGAAAACGTGCTTGAATTGCAGCCATCTGCTTGCATTACTGAGACTGTACTGTTCTGCAGCCTTAGCCAACAACTAGCTCATGGTTAGCTGTTGCTTTAACCCTTAAGTCCCAATAGTGACCACGATCAATTTTTTCTTAACAATATCCAGACACTGTCAAGAGATTTGGTTATGAGAATTTATGAAATGAACACCTACTGCTTTGCTTTGATCTTTTATCAAATTCTCTCAACTCATTCTTTAAGGAAATATACAAAGATCAGTTTGGAGAATTTGTATGTGGATATAATAGGACTTAAAGGGTTAAGTGGTGTTTTGAGTGATAGCCAATTCTATGTCCAAAGATAACTCCATAGGATGGAGCATTCATTAAAACAAACACCTTATAGGGTTGGTCCCTGCCATTCTTCAGTTAGTGTCTTTTGCTATGAGGTGGACACGTTTATCTATAAGACAAACCTTTAGCACTGTCCCCAACAGTGTCTGTCTAAGAGAAAGTTGAATGTTGAGGCTGTCATGCTGTTCAGGCCAAAGGGCTTACAGTCATCTCACCACCAACAAAATCGCCACCAAGAAGTTGACTTGCCACCAACCTTATTCTTTGATCTATTGCGATAACAAGACATGCCAGATGTCTAAAAAGCGGCAGCAATAATATAAGTTCTCACACACTGACAGAGATGTCAGCCTCTGGAGGTCTACAATCTGGAGACTGTCTCTTCCAAAGGTATTTAAAGATGACAATTTAGCGTGTTTTGATTGACGTGTTTAGGACTCAAGGTTATTATTCAAGGCCTTTTTGGAATATTTTTGGAGAAATTGAATTAAATGTTCATTATTTATCATGTATGAAAGAATGATTTGTCTGTATTTGTGAGTCAGGTGTGAGATATTGTCCACAATGCATGAGGTCGATGTCTTTAGTATGCAAGCTTGAGACTCATGCATATTGTGTGGGTGTTGGCAGGTATGGTCTGTTGGTGAGGTGATTGGACCAGATTCTGACCAAAGCAAGTTGCTTTGGCTGTCACTATGCAGGTGATGTGAGAATACAGAATAAAAGTTAGAAGTGTACAGACCTTACCAGTATAAAAGAGTTTGCAGTGCATAAAAGCTGTAAAACTTAAAGATAGTCTCCAAATTTTCATCTGTTTTTTTTTTAGTGTGGAAATAATGCAACCCTTGTTACTGCAGTGAGTGAGGAGGAGTCTAAAGGTGCCAAGGGGATGGGCCTACCTCTTACGGTAAGAATAACCTGCAAATGATTGATCATCTAAGTACATCACATATGTATTTAAAAAAGTTGATTAGAACCATCTTGAGGCTTTTTTTGGGCACCCTTTTAAAAGTCAACCACCTGGGACTCTTACAAGTATTTGTGTTTTAAAGTACACTGTGGTCTTTCTTTCAGGTTGATTACAAAGAAAAAGCGGCAGCTGGGGGACAATTTCCCAGGAATTATCCAAGAAGAGATCTTGGAATAACTGAGCGAGAAATCCTTATTAGCAGACGTATTGGTATGACTTTAAATAAATGTATGTATTTAACAGGAGTCTGTTTTGGGCAGATGGAAAATAACAGAAAAATTTTTGCTAAGTTATTTTGACGAACAAACAGATTTAACTGACGCTGATATATGTAAGTAGCCTAATGTTACACACTCAGTGTGTTTTGAATGAAAGTGTTCTTCTTGATCATATGTGACTGTCTTTTTTCTAGACAGATCCCTGAGGTCTTTGTTTCCTAAAGGGTATTCATGTACAACTCAGGTATAGTTACAGACTGTGTTATAAAACATTAAATTAACAGATTATGCTCCATTTTGATCTTTTGGTCAGACAAAAGGTGACAAGAAAAAATTTGAAAAAAGGTGAAATATCACTGGTATGTGCTTGTCATGCAACAGTTTGGGAATTATGGTCAGGTTAAAATAAAGCTGACTAAGACTTTTATCACTGACCTGTTAACTACATGTGTATTTCCAACAGAAGTAAAACCAAAGTAAGTAAATGATTGATAGGTTTTTGTGTTAATTCTTCAGGTAATTGGTAGTTTGTGGGCTGCTGATGGGCTCAGTGATCCAGATATAACTGCCATGAATGGAGGTCAGTAATAACCTGTACTTATCTTAAATGTTTGATATAAAAAATTGAGTCTAAGTGTAAGCTGGCTGGTGAACAAGTCTGTAAGTCAGTCAGTTTTCCTCTAATTCAGTGAAGGATTCAAGGGCCAGCTGTTTGGTATTTAGAAAACTGTTCTGTGCTACTGTTGTTAACATCAGTTAATACCATATTTTTGATTGCTAGGTACAGGGTTTGCATGCACCTTGAAAGTCCTTGAAAATTGCAGTTGGTGCTGGAAAATCCTTGAATTTTGGTCCTAACTTTAACTAAATCAAATTGTGTAAGGAGAGCTGCAAAGGATTAAGGAGCAAACACAGAAATTGCTCATGTTGTGGAAGAACTAAATAAGACATCTTAGATGCTCTTTCTTGCTTTGAATGGAGTCCTTGAAAAATGGGAAATGTGTCCTTGAAAGTCCTTGAAAAGTCCTTGAATTTTTTGTTCAAAAAAGCTAGGGCACAAAAAACCCTGTAGGTACATAATTATAATGAACCAGTCAGAAATGTTCCATGTATCTAAGGTACAGGGCGCAAAGAAAGTCAGTTTTACAGCTTGCCTTTTGGGCAAGCAATAGTTAGCACGTACTGGCCTAGAATTTTTTTTGATGAGCGGAATTGATTACAGCTCTTTTGTAATTTGAACTCCCCAAAAACTTCACATGCCTGTTGGGCAAGTTGAAAACAGAATTCACTAGCCCAATAGCAAAATCCACTAGTCCCAGGCTATCGAACACTTCTTTCTTTGCATGCTGAGGTAGAAGAATAACTGAATGTTCAACTCACTGTTTGTTTAATATTTAATATTAAAAATTAACAATATTATATTTTATTAGCTTCTGCAGCACTCACAGTATCAGATATTCCTTGGCATGGTCCCGTTGGTAAGTAATTCAAATGATGTGCCATTGCATGTGTAAAGTAATAAAGCATGAGCATGAACAGTGGTCTGTTGTAAGCTGGTACAGATCAAATAGCGGCCAAATGTATTTGAAAATGAAGTGTCTTTTTGCATTCTACTTAATTTAGTAATGACATTTTTTTGGCTTAGGTGTATTAAGAGTAGGAGAAGTTGATGGAGAGTTTGTTGTCAATCCAACATGGTCACAGCTGATGATCAGCAGACTAAACCTTGTGGTTGCTTGCAGTGAAAAGAAAGTTGGTAAGACATTACCTAGAAAGGGCCATTTATATACAAGGAAAAATAAGATGCACCTTACCAAGGATGTGAAGATGCAAGTTTCTCATATATAGCGCAAAAGATGTATCCATCTAAATAACACGTGACTTTGCTAAACTAATAAGAAGGCACCTTATGGCCTTGCATGTACTTGTGTGAATGGTTCAGTTTGTGTCTTATTTCGACACATCAGTCTTTTTCTTCTTACATAAGTGCTCCTTTCATTGTAACAACAAGAACAACATCAAACTCACTGGAAACATTTTTGTAAAACAATAATTAATTCCCTGTGAAGAATAAAAGGTCCAAATTACATTGACATTGACTCAGTAGATCTGTTAATTTGTCATTTAATTGTAATGCGTTGCCTAACTTTGTTTCAGTTATGGTGGAAGCATTTGCCAATGAAGTTACTTCTGAGAGATTTTGTGAAGCACTTAGATTTGCATTTATAGAGGTACAAGTATTTGCAAAATAGAATATTATTATGATAAAATATTTAATTTAATGTTATTTTAGAAAGTTATGTTGATCAGTTGGACAGCTAGTCTCTGATAGTCTTTCTTGCTCTTCTGTAATGAATGGTGTTTTTTAAGTCATCCCCTCGTTTAAAACAGTATTTTATTATAGCTTTGTTTATTGTTTGTCTCACTATGCTCACTTTGACTTCCAACTTTTGTTCTTCATCAAGTAGTTTTCAAATAGATGTAGATGTAATGTAAGAATTCCTTCCATTTGTCCCATTGTAGGATAAATGTAAGGAAATTTTCATTGCGTTTCGAGGCCCCAAATTATTTAAGTCCCTTAGCCCAGAAAATCACAATGCCTCTAGTATTGGTGAATTCCTCTCTAAACCAAAGTCACTGATTTTCTCTTGGTGTAAACTTTGTGTTTTTTACTTCATTTGGTGCTTTTTATTTTCCTCTCCTCTTCTTCTTTTTTTTTCTCTTTTTCACATTTTTTATTCCTTGCCTATTAATGATATACTTTCTACGTTATAAATCAATTGCATAAGTTATCTTATATAGCATAGCACTTTTTCAAACTTGTCACAGTGTCAGCCAATAATCCAAGCTCAGCTTGAGCTTCAGAAACAAGCTGGAATCGTCAAGAGACTATTTACAGTGGTTGCCACTCCTTCAGAGGTGCTGGAGACAATACAAAGGTTAGCAAGACCTATAATATCATACAGAATTACACTGAATTGCATTTGACCCTTGAGATTCCCGCTCACAGCAGGTCTCTTAGGTTGAAACAGTAATGTTAATAAATCAAGGTGAAAAAACAGAAGTGTTATTTAGGCCTATCCCGGAGGTAAGGACATGATTTTAGGCAAGGGTATGGCCTGTATTTGTGTGGGAATTTGTGATGTAGTTATACCTTATATTTTTTAGCCTGTGAATACAGCAGTCTCTCCTCTTTCCTCTCCTCCCACAATACGTCCTCAGTGGTGCTGAGCGAGGTGATACAGCTGTATTCGCATGCAGGCTAAAGATTTATGCATAATTTCCAGTTTTTAATATTATAATTTCTGTTTTCTTCCAGTATTTTAGTTGACCGCTTGGATGAAATCTTTTCAAACTTTACTTACTCAAAGGTTAGTTTCTGTGGTAATGAAGCAATTTGGAAGCCTCTCATCAAATTTAAATAAATCACCAACGGTAACAAAACTACACACTTTGTTTGGAACCTCTGTGGACTTCATCAAAGTGACCTAAGTTCAGTTCACTTTTGTGTGGATAGCCCTTTAAGCGACAAAATGAAAGATGTACACAAATCGTCAAAAAAGACCAGCTTTTGCCAAAAACTTAACATGGTGTTGTTGGGTGGGAGGAGCAGGATGCAACAGCAAACTAACAAAAGATCTCATGATTTTCAAATGCATCTGCGGAAAAATTATAACAATTTGTTTATAGTATTTACTTTTTGATCCCCAGCAAGAACGTGATAGAGAAATGTTTGCAGTTAGGGATTCATGTGTGGAAACTGTTCAAGGTAATACTTTTGTCTTAACTTATTAAATTACATAATTATTGCATAAAATTATCATGAACGTATCAAAAAGGGGTGTCGAAATCTGTACCCGTTTTTCATTTAACTCACCAATTTCATTAGAAATGAAGCCACGCTTATAGCACAAACTGCAAGGTCTTAATGATGAAATCTGTGACTCTCGCCCTGTAGTAGGATTGGTAGGCTAATCGTAAACACGTGCGATCAAGTTTTGTACTTTATGCCTCAGCCATAAGCTAAAATATTCTGTATAGCACTATAAAATATGCTGGGAAAAAATTCATTAGAATTTTCCTTGTTGTATAACCGTGTCAAAGTCCGCAGTCCGCACAAGTCTCTCAAAAATCTTCGGCACAATCCAGGAGGGAGAGGGGTAGGTGGGTGGGAAGCTAGTTAATAACGTTTTATACGGGAATGCTACGCCCTGAGGTCCAACCCCTTTTTATTTAGATATGATTTTTAACAGAAAATATACTCCTTTTGTATACCTTCCACTGAAAAGTGGTATCCCTGTTACATACCTACTCAAGAATACTTCAGTCAAAGTAAGAAAGGTTGGATTTTCATCTTAGATCTGACCAATTCCGGAAGCACCTGATTTCTTCCAAAGTCCTGAAGCTCACATAGAGACTTCACTATGTTGACCTTCATCATTTTCATTACCTTGGTTCAAGTTAACGTGTTTTTTAAAAGTGTTCAGTAAAGCTAATAGCTCAATAAGGCATGAGAAATTCTTAGCACGCATGAACTCAGGTAGACTGTCTCAAAGTCCTTCGCTTCTCATTTCCGGTTGCGGCAGTTGGCGCCAGCGCGAAGACTTGTCGCTCTCTCGCTCTATTTTTCCGCAGAAAACGTAAAAAATCTACCGCTCGCGCTTCGCGCTCGTGAAAAAATTTTGATTTTGACTTGCAGGCAAGTCTAGAACTCAGGTAAAGGGTAGAATATTTACAACCAAATGTTATGAAAAATGGACGTTACCACGTTTTGTTTCAAGATAAATCTCTTGAAAGCTTTGGCAACTAAAAATACTCCCCCCCCCTCCCCCTCACCCCCACAGAAATCCGGGTGGATCATTTCTGACCCCAGCTGAACAAAATTGACCAGGTTGGGGTGAGGGGAGGGATCACGGCGGTACCAGTGGCATTCTAAGGATAAGAAAGTGCAAAATTCTTAACACTTTTTGCCCAACATTGTAGAAGTACTGTGCAGGCGAGAGACTCATTTATTTTTTTACAATAATGTTTTTCTTCAGAACAGTTTCCAGACGTTCCAGCAAATCTTATAGCGGAGAAAGTGTTTGCCGTAACTAAAGCAGTTTTTCGAAGGAACATTCTAGAGAAAGCTCAAAGGTAACAGAGGCAAATTTGGCGTTGTTCTTTTCATATGTTTACACCAGCCTTAAAATGAGTTTCAAAGTCTAACATTCATCAGTTTTTAGTCCTTTTCCCCGTGTGCAAATTGTTCTTTTTGCAAATGAATACCCTACTGCTGCTACATGTATATCTCGAGTCCGGTTTTTAAAAAAGTTCTTGATGGTTTGACCCTGGATATTTTTATTTACTTTAATTTTGTCAGATGTGATGGGCGCCATTTCGATGCTCTTCGCCCCATTGTGTGTGAGGTGGATATATTCAAAACTCTTCATGGTTCCTCCTTATTTCAAAGAGGAGAAACTCAGGTTAGTATTTTACCTACACGTTAAAGATAAACTGAATTTAACATCGTTGATTACCGCAGACTGCTAACAGTCCCTCTGGATTGTCGCATTGGGGAGCATCCAAGTGCGAGCGAGCGAAAATCAGTTTGTGGTGGAACGGTTTACGGCCCGGGGGTTTACGGTCATCTGGCAACCAAGGAAATCGCCACCAATAAGACGGCTAGTCAAATGATGTTTTCAAGTTCATAGATAACAAATGGACATAAACGAAAGCCACCACAAACATGCACTGCCTGCGTTTCGTGACATTTTTCTTCACAGTAAAGCGTTAATTCTGTTTACTCAGGTTTTCTGCACAGCAACTCTTGGATCTCTTCGTTCTGCAAAACAGTCTGATGCTACAGCGGAGGGTGTGGGGTAAGAACTTATTTCAATTTTTCGCTTCTCAGGACAAATCTTAATCGTTAGTTAGCTCCTTAATCAGTGGACACATCGTACCAACTCAAAGGATTTTGACTGTAGAGTGTCGTAACAGAGTTTTCACGTAGAGCTATACTGAGAACTAAATGCCCACACAGGTTATATTACGCCTAAAACGCACTCACTCTTTATCCTACTTTACAGCGTTGCCATACGGTCAAAGTGCTCTATTAAACCGTCACCGTTCAGCTCTATTACGGACAGACACTTTTGGCCCCATGCAAGGATACCAAAAGCTATGTCTTTACGAGATTTGGGTATAATTATTTGAAACAGAATCGTAAATTTTAGGGAACAGATGGATGAAGTTTACTTTTAAATAACAGTCGAACCACCGCTAACGGTTACCTCTCTACTACGGCCATTTTTTGGCAGACAGTCCATACATTCACTATTGTTTCAACCTCTCAACAATGGTCACTTTCTTCTGTCCCCAAGGTGGCCGTTGTAGAGGGGTTCAACTGTAATCACAATCGATTAACTCTTTTACATGTCACAGTGTTGTCACAAAATTATGTTTGGTTACTGTTGGTTGCAAGTTGTACAACCTCGTCCCCGGAGCTTTTCCCTAAGCCAAAAATGGGAGAGGCCATTTTATATGGGGAAAAGCCTCTTCTAAGCGTTCAGATTCTAGGGGAGGTACAAAAGTGAACAGGAAAACGCAAGGAGGAGGTGGTGGTAGGGAGAAAGAGCTTCCGCTGTTTTTCCTCCCCTCTTCATTTCGCGCCACTCTCCATCATCTAAACGCCTGGAACAAGCTACAGTAGCCTTCAGTTCCTTTTCCTTCACCCTCTCTCCTTACCCCACCCCTGGCTGTGTTTTCCCTGCTTCTCCTTACCCCACTCCTAGCTGTTTTTCCCCCGCTTTCCTGCGCCGCCCCGACTATCTGAACGCCTGGAACAGGCTAGGAAAAGGCCTGAGGACGAGGCTGCATCAAGTTGTGAGAACATGGGAACATAATTATAACCTAGAGCAGGCTTTCCCGGGGCGCTCTTCCCCTCTTCCCTCCCCTACCCCCGTACCCCTGGGAACCCCAGGAGAGCTTGCTCGCAGGCAAGGGAATATAACGATTACAGCTCTTGTAGATAAGACAATTATCTTGTAATGATAATACAATGTTCTTAACCTTGATTTGTTGTTCATACAATTCAACAGAGATGTGAGAGAGAAACCATTTATACTCCACTACGAGGTATGCCGCCTTTCGTTTGTTTCCAATATTTTCAAGTTTTATCGAATTCAGTTCTGTCGTTAATTGTTTGTTTTACTTTCTTGTGTAGTTTCCACCATTTTGTGTCAATGAAACAGGACGGGTGGGTGGGTTTAATCGACGCGAAGTTGGTCACGGTAAGGCTACTTTCAGTTTGTGCATTTGCGAGTTTTATTCCCACCTTGTGGCAGCTGAAGCATAAAACCTTTTAAAACCGTTTTATTCTATCTAGGTAACTTGGCAGAAAAGGCCTTAGAACCAGTTGTTCCTAAAGATTTCCCGTTTGCCATCAGATTGACTTCACAGGTATTGGAATCAAATGGTAAGTGGTTAATTTGCGCTTAAGTAATAAGCCCTTTATTATCTACGACCTTTTCGCCCTGAAATGTTATTGGCCAGGGCCCAGTTGTTCGAAGGCCGATTAGCGCTAACCCAGGGTTAAATTTAACCCGGCTTTCTTTTTTTTTGTACAAAAGCATTTTGTCGGATGATTTTCTCTGTTATTCTTGAAAGCATCTAATCATTAACCTGTTGACGGAAAAAATCAGACTGAAGTTACTTTTTATGCTTTCAAATCTGAATTCAAATTTCGCACTAACCCTGGGTTATCTTAACCCAGCTTTGAACAACCCAGCCCAGGTTTTCATATGCCGCCGATCTCCTTAGCCGTTGCTATATGTTGCGTGGAATTCTATTCTGTTCATGGCGACAAAACCATTCCTTGTACAGTACAGGTAGGGCGACAAGTTACTGCAACACTTTGCGCGCCCCGTTGCAGGGACAAATTACGTCTTGTGTATAGGAGAATTTTTGTGAAAATCTTTCGTCTCCGCAACAGAATTTTCTCGCCGCAACAAGTAGCACAAATTCCACCTGATTTTGTGTATCCCAATCCCCAGTCCCGATGGCTATGTCGCAGGGAGGTGTAAGTGTGTGTTCGTTTACCAGTGCGAGCACGATTAATGAATGGAATGAACTCTTAGAGTTTAAATAGCTTCTCTCAATGCTCACTTATGGTGTAATGTCATTGTAACAGCTGCAAACCAGACTGCCTTATATTCAGCTTTTCTTTGGCTTCGCCCCATTTATTCTGACACGTTATGTTTGAATTGCGCAAGTGTTTTGGGTAAGGAAATGTTCTTTTGTGTTTGTAGGTTCGTCATCCATAGCGACGGCATGTGCGGGAAGCTTGGCTTTAATGGACGCAGGTATTCTCTCCTTCCAACGTTTTACAAGCAAGATTTGTATTGATTTTTCTTTTACCATTTGACCAAGGAAGTACCCAAGTGATTTTTAATGTCCTTTTATTATGCGGCTGGCTCTGCAAGCGGGCAAAATGAAAACCAACTGCGTGTCGATGGCTGCCTGAGCGTGCATGATGGCCTGTCTTGTCCACTCGGGATTACTTGCTTTCTCCTGCAAGCATACTTTTTGTTTTGGCCTTATAATGTACCCTTTATTGACCAAGCTTGTTCGGTCGAGATGTGTGTATGCTGGTCTGAAATAAGAGGTCCATAAAAGTGCAAAAACAAAAAAAAAGAAAAGAAAACAAGATCTTGGAAAATATCCAAACCGATTCGGGTTTACAAATTATATGTAGCACCAAATAAAGCGCAATGTTTTTTCAATCAGATGCACAGTTAACGTTTTACCTCGTCACAGGAATACCAATCAGTCGGCATGTAGCAGGAGTTGCCTGTGGATTAGTTAGTAGCAGCGATGCTGAGGATCCTAAAAAGCCAGATATTGAACAGTATCGCCTGATGACTGATATTTTGGTAAGACGTATGAAAAATATTGTCGCCTGAGCAGTGCTCAGTTCAAGATAGCTCTTTTAGATATATATTTTTTGTCTGTAGCGTTTTGATATGCGTGATCGGTACCCGGTCACCTCGCCACCAAACCATCTCGCTACCAACTAAATCGCCACCAAGGAATATAGATCTTAATTCTTACCCGAAGGACAAGTATCAAAGAAGACAATTTCTTCACTTTAAATTAACAATATGAAATTTAAGGAGGTAAGGGTCAAGTGCCAATATTACTCTACTTTCATAGGAAAGGCAGTTGGATTTTAAACAAATCGCACCTCTCGAGCGATGCAAATAATCCGTTTTAAAGTATTAAAAAGTCGCAATTATTCACAAAAAATAAAACTCAACATTGAGAAGTTCGACGTAAGGTGTCAATTACAATCGATAAACTTGTATTTGGGCCTAAGGAAGAAGTAACGATCTCAGGTAAGTGAACAGTGTCAATTATTGCAGAGTTAAATATGGTGGCGAGTAGACGGCGAGATGGTTTGGTGGCGAGATGACCGAAAACCGCGCGATTCTAGGTATGTGCGCGCATGGCATTTCTCTTCCGATGAACCTTCATTAGTCTTTCAACTTTTGCGTCTTTAGTTCAACACCTTTTCATCCCAGTCGGGAGCTTAAGCAACTATTACGACGACGACGACGACGACGACAACGACAGCGTAAAAAAAACGATTGTTTTTATGAGCAAAACAACAGCTCTACACGTGCATCACCTGTTTTAATACATTTCTTTGATGTGCACTGCACGACTTCGTTGTGAAACCTCTGCGTGCGACGTGTTTTGGAGGACGTGAACATACGGCGACAAATTTCCCTTTCTTCTAGTTTTGAAGCTGGATAAGGTCTGTAAGAATTCAACCCCAGAAGAAATCGCCTGCATTTGACAAATTTAGCGGGTTCAAATGGATGCGATAAAGTTTGGAAGGATGCAAATTCATTTTTTAGCGACGTTTTCACTGCCGTCCTCGTCGTCGTTGCCAAGAAAAGCGGTTATTTAGCAGTAACTGAAAGAAACAGAATACTTTTTGTTTTCTGTTTCTGTTTTTTGCATTTTGCCTGTCACTCACTAATGGTTCATCTATAACTAGTATTTGTTCAATCCGCCGACAGGGTATTGAAGACTTTATGGGAGACATGGACTTTAAGCTTGCTGGAAGTAGACAAGGAATAACTGCGCTTCAGGTAGGGATGTAAGATCCTAACGTGTACTGGCATTTGAAACTAAAGCTTTTCGTAGAGAAAAAAGAATAGGCTCTCTTACCGGCCACTGTCGGGAAATGAGGCCACGTCCTTCATGGAGAGCCGGAACAAAACCGGACCCGAGAGTGTGGCGGAAATCGAGCCTAGATTAAGAATTGAAAACAACAAACCAAAAGAAAATAACACAATAAAAAGAAACAACAACAACAACATTCATTATTAGTACCATATTCTGATTAGAGGCAAGGTAGGGTTAGCTCAGTTGGTCGTGTTTGCGCCTGGCTGAAGAGATGGAGTTTGCGGGCGGGGCGCTCTTATGGTCTTAAAATTTCTGGAGCAGAAGGTGCTGCTTTTGCCCTCCAAACGGCTAGATGAACTAGACCTTCAGCTAGTTTGGATCATAACGTAGAAATGCAGTGGTCCTGTCTCTAGCAAAGGCGTAGCAAGTACTCTTGCCTTGCGGACACTCCGCTATAACAGACACCCAGATAAAACAGACAGCAGCTACATCCCCGGCAAAAACAAAATACAGACATTTGACTGAAATAAACTCCCGCTATTACGGACTCTCGGTAATAAGGACACTAACTCGAGGTCCCTACAATCCCCGCAATGAAAGGAGTTGACTATACGTTGGAATCCCGTATTAAAACCACTTCCTAACTCTATCGTCGTATTATAACGACCACATTCTTTGGCCTGGCGAACCAGTCACTTTTGTAACTGAAAACCTCGTTAATTCCACCTCCTAGCAAACTTGTTCTCAGGCTGTCTCGTTTTGCCGTCCTCTAGAAGGAGAGAGACTGCAAAATCTGTTCCGGCGAGGGTTGGAGCTGGTCCTTATCTCACTTTTTTACTTCAAGGGAACAAAAGACAGCATGGGAACGACAATTACCACCTAGTTGATGCGACCTTAGGTACAACTAGACTTTCAAGGGCTTTGGGTGGTAATAACAGAGTTTTTACCATTTAACAAGCATAAGCTTTCTTCCGCGCCCTCTCTTTTGTTGACAAGCTATAAATAGTGAATATCGTACCAGATCTTCCAGATGTTGTGCCTAATATTACATCAAACATTTCAATATGACAGGCCGATTTCAAGGTGCCAGGACTCCCTTTGCATATCGTAGAAGAAGCAGTGATCAAAGCAACAGGTACAAATATTTTGTCCGACTGAGCAAAATTAAATTAAACTTATCATACCGGTTAACTTTGAATGGAGACGTAGAGACTGCTATTTGGTGTTATTTTACACTTTCATCGCTTGGGGTATTTTGATGGTGATCCCTCAATTTTTTGCGTACTTTTTTTTTTACCAATTACAAAGTTATTAGTACTTATTGTTTGGTTGGTTTTGTCGCAGAGGACAGGATGAAAGTTTTGGATATTCTTGAAAGTTGTCAGAGTGAACCAAGAGAAACGCTTAAGGAAAATACACCGGCTTTAGGTAAGCTCTAACGGACGTTTCCAGTATAATAAAACAGAAATCGTACATTTCTATTGCGCCCAAATATTGCGGCATCAACTATGGCCAGAGGCAAGGGTCATATGCTAGGATTTGTTGAAGTGTTGTTAAGACTCAGAGTTATCATCTATACTATCCTGTAGGTTTTAGTGGGTAGCGGGGGGGGGGGGTCATCTGTATTCCTCTGCTTTTCTTTGAAATCGAAAGACTTGATTTTAAGTCTTCCAACCAATGCATTTCATTCACTTCTTAGCAAATGTAACTGTGTCTTTAACACAAAGCAAAAAGCTTCTTGGAGTTGGAGGTTTGACGATTAAGAATCTACAGGACGAGACAGGTAGGGTCATCGTAACTCTCTGTAATTTATGTGGCCTTAAGTTGCAACGTTTCAGAAAACTTCCCGGCTGATGACTTCACATCCACTACCTGTCAAACTCCTTTTCTTTTTTACTTAATTAATTGTATCGAGATTTCAATCATTTATGCTTTTTAAGGAAGTTTAAGGAAGGTTTGAGCACAAGAGCTGGGTTTAAAAAAGAAGTGACCTTAGTTGCTCTTGATTAGGGAAGCGTGGGGGAAGCTTAGAACTAACGCTAAGCGCGGGAAACAACAACAAAAACCATTGCCAGCCGCGGGAAAATTGTAACAATGTGCTAAGCTCGGCGAAAATGTAGTACGGCCTTCAAAACGTAGGGCCGAAACAAAGCGCTGGAATCGAGAAAAGCGTTACAAAACGCGGTCAAACCATGCCTACGTCTTTCCATAATTCATTTGTTTGCCCACAGTTTGCGTCAAAATTGTTTCTAATTTTTTTCTTGACACTCACAATCACCGTCACCGATAATCTAAAACAATGCCATGGCAAAGTTTGTCGGTTAACAAAGAGAAAGTGGGAGGATTTGGAACTGGCGAATGCGTGAAAAGTATTACACACATGTAAATAGCAAATATTAAAACGATGAACTTGTTGAAAAAGTTGTGGCGTTCAGGATTATTCTCCTCATTTGATAGACGGACATTTCGTTAAGCGCTAATTCGGCGCAACAAAGCACTTACCTCCTGTTGTGCTGTGTTCTTCAGGTTCAACAATCAGTCGAATTGACGAAGAGGAGTTTTCAGTGTTTGCACCTAACTCGAAAGTTCTTCAGGAGACGATAGAAAAAATCAATGAGTTAACAACGCAAGAGGTATTAGTGGCGAGGTTAAATTCATCTTTGAATTATGATTTATAAACAAACAAAGGGAACGGAAGACACTGGAGAGCGAATTCTATATCTTAGGCAAGTGGAGCTGTTATGGTGAAGGTATTTATTCAGGCCTTCGGACGTAAATACAGTATCACGTTGTTATGCAGAAACGATTTATATAATACAGTGGAACGTTGATATTACGAACCTTTATATAATGAAGTCTGTGGTCTAACGAACGATATTCATCGCTCTAGTAAATGTATAATTATATCGAAAAGAACTCTAATATAATGAATCCTCTTTATGACGAACATATTTTACCAGTCCCTTGGCCCTTCGTTATATCGAGGTTCCAGTGTGCCGGCTCTAAGCTTGGTTTCTTTGGTTTCATAGGACTGGACAGAATGTCTTGAGGTTGGAGAAAAATATACCGCGAACATTGTTGATGTGAGGTAAGTAACTCTCGTGTGACAGCTAGCGGCTTATTAGTTATCTCTCCAACCCCGCGGTCGGTTGCTAAGAACGCACATCCAATTCCTTTTTTAGCGGACACTATTGTAGGAACCTTGAGTCAGTGTCCTCATTAGCGAGAGTCCGTAATAGCGGGAGTTGTTTTTCAGTCAAACATCTATAATTTATTTTTGCCCGGGATTTAGCTGCTGTCCGTATTATCGGGGTGTTCGCAAGGCGAGAGTTAACTGTACTTAAGATTAGAAGGCTCTTAAGTAAAAATGGAGTTAAAATGGAACAATAATCCATTATTGTGAAGCAGTACTTATGAGTTATCGGAAATTGTAGAATCACCAAGTTTCATCTTGAACAGCCACCCCTCACAACATTACATATATTCAGTTCAGGACAAAAATGATATAGTAGAAGACACACTGTAAATCGTTGCCACCCGTTTCCTTTGTCGTTCAGTCGAGCTTCAAATTGGTACAGAGAATGTCACTGCTTTCCACTTTTTTCAAGTCCTCAAATTATTGTTCAACAGGTTTTGGGGGGTTTTCATTTACAACCTTAGTGATTCTTAGCGAATCCAGTTATTTATGCTTTTTCTAATAGTCTATCAGATCTCATGAGCTTGTAATTTAGTTGGCCACCGGGTCACTGTAGTCGCTGAGGGTCGGGGTATTTTTCTCTTCAATATATGTTTCATTTCAGCTTTTCTTGAATGATTGCAAATCTCTCATATGAGACCTCGCGAGAGTTGCTACCGCGCGTGTTTTCCATGTGTGTTGTTGCTTCTTTTCTGCATATTTGATTATCTGTAATTGTGCGTTGCGTGGTGCGTGGTGCGTAGTAAAAGTGGCTTCGTAACCGTACCGAAACATTATTAGTCTGGCAAGTCATCAAAACAAGTGTGTTAATTTTCGGATTGATTTTTACCAGGGATTATGGTGTTATGGTGGAACTGTTGCCGGACACGCCTAGTGTACTTCTACACGTGACAGAAATGTCTCACAACAGGGTAAGAAACGACATGAGCAAAATCGCGCCCTCTTGACATTTCTCTCAAGCAACTTTTACTTAAATGAGCGCCCGTTTTTAATGAGCACCATTCCCTGAATATGAGCGCCTCTCTCCCCTCTCACTTTCTATTGAAAGTCGCAGCTCCCATAAGCGACCACCCAAAATGCGAGAAGTTTCAGTGATCGTTAAAAGCTCTTCGTATACTCAAGTAACACAGTACATAAAGCGAACGTAGAGATCAGACCATGCGTGAAGTGGTCCCGTTAGCCCCAAGAAGTGGTCGCGGTCGCTTACAGGAGGTGGTCGTTTACAAGAGGTTCCAGTATTAAGGCTTTGATTGAGAAAAATTTGGTGTTTTGGACCGGCCCTTGGTCGCTTACGAGTGGTGGTCGCATATCTAATTAAGAGTGCCTTCTTTTAAAATAAGCGCTTCGCTTTTTATCGAAATTATCACGGAATAAGCGCCTGAGCACTTACTCGAGGAAACGTGGTATTAGGGTTGGTCTGATTGACTTTGGCTTCATTTGAAAACTCTGTTATCTTCGTTCGAATAACTGTCTATCTTGACTTCCGAAATTATTCATGTTATTTCCTCTTTTTGTCCTATTTTTAGGTTTATAACCCAAGGGATATAGGAATGAAAGTAGGAGATGCTGTAGACGTCAAATATCTTGGAAAGGACGAGCGAACGGGGAGACTTGAAATCTCAAGGAAAGCCCTTTTACCAAAACCGCTTACTCCAACAAGGAAGATAAATGGGACTCAACAAACCAAGTCCAAGAAAGCTAATGGAAATCAGAAAGACAAGTCTGCGGAGGATTTCATAACTACATATCTTAAATAGCTGGGGAAAGGCTGGGAAGGTTCCAACCCTGTTTCATTCCAGTGTCTCTCGTCTTTCCGGGAAGAGGAGACCGTGGGAACGAGGTATACGCGCCCCAAAGAAAACCTCTGAGGCGAATTATTCATGTGCTAGTCAAGTCCCGAGTGAGGCTAGGTAAAGAAAACGGGCCCCTCATATGATATTATACTGGTGGCACAATGGAAAAGAGATTTAGATCAGATGGAAATTACCCTTACCAGGATCCAAGACAGTAGTGTGCAGTGATCGTGAAAACAAATGGGAGAAACACGCGGTAGCCTGGGAGAGAGAAGGCCGCCCCCACTTCCCCCGTTTTTGAATCGCTGGCACGAATACTGCTCTCCGGATTCGAGTTGGATACAGATTACCCCTGTCCGGGCACTGTTCTAGTTCTAAGTTGTGCAAAATGTGCATGTCGTACCGTAAGTTCAGAACTGTTTCATCGCTCGCTGGACTGCAGCGCTAGACGCTCTGTTAACGGAATAGGTCTTTGCTGAAATCACAAGGAAAAAAGCATCTAAGCCTGGAAAATCTCATCTTTTAAGATTGACTAACGTAACTTATTTTACATGGAGCTAAATATACATAATACTGTTCGCACAATTGAATTATTTTCTTACATGGATTATAATGACAATAATAACGACAATTTTTTTAATTTAGTAATAACAATTTTATTCAACTTTAAAAATATGTACATAATTCACAGAGATATTTGAAGTAAGAATTAAGCACTATACAACATTAAGAATTATATAAATAATAAAAATACAATCATTGTGTCAATAACGATTATCAAATACATTCCTTGCGGCTCAGATACGATCAATAACTCTTGCGTACGCAGAGCGTACGATGGCGAAAGATTCTTTATCTCTTATCCAGGAAATTGCGCCTGAGTAACTTTGTCCCTTGTTATTTGCGACCAGCTCCGCAAGTCTGCTGTGGTACTTAACACACTCATCTTCCATTCCACCTGTGGTCGTGAAAACTAGGGGAGTGAACGTTCCCTGTTTGATCTCCATTTCTCTTTCCTCATACTGCCTCTTCTTCTAGTTCTCATGCTTCTTGAAGATTTGCTTAGGAGTCAAGTCTCTGTAAGATAGGGAGACACACCCAAACGTCGAAGAATGCAGATCCCTGTCTCTCCCAAAAAGAAGAATAATAATTTAATAGTGATATTTTAAGATGTACTTATTTATAGCTCATTCTCCCATATAAATGAGATAAAATACGCTTATGTTGAGATGGAAACGCACAATCGTTCATTGTGAGGCCTTCCAAAGGGTACAAGTGACCCTTTTCAAATCTGACCCACCCTTGATCGGTGACCTTTCATGCAATCACTCAATTTTTCCGTTCACTGAATCAACCCCAAGTTTATTCTTTATTTGCTCATGACTTATTATTGATCCCAAACGTTTCCTGTGTGTCCCCCGGGCATAGTTTTAAAAGAGAATGCGGCATGGCGACTGGAATCACAAGTTGCAAGAAAACACTATTTCATTAAAAGGCGAGTATTTGTAAGCTCCGTTGGTTTGATTCTTTGTCAAACTTGTTTCGGGCGCTCAGATCGCGGGCATGGAGAGCCTCTTCGGATCAGGGCGTAAGGCTCCGTGTCCTGGCCGTTTTATTTCCTCGCAGTGCTTAGGCAAAGGCGTTTTTCAGCGAAGCACGTCAACCGGAAGTGAGTCCTCTTCCTTTAATAGCGCTAACAAAGCGTCTGTTCTCTCACTGAGATAGACCGTGGCATCGTCTTTCTTTCCTAGAGCCACGCGCGGCGAGTAAAAAGCTGAAAAAGGTACAATCATTCGTGCAACTCAAGAGATAAAAAATATGAGACTAATACTGACTTATTACTGAGACGATTTAAACCCCCTGCCAAAGAATGTAAAATTTCACTTCCGGTTGACGTACATTGCTTGAGCCGATAAACGGAGAGGGACTGGAGCTACTATTAGAAACAAAATGGCGGACGGACTGAAGCGCTACACTGATCAAAGGACAAATCCTTGCATTGCGGAATCACAAGCGTCCATGAAATGTTTAGATGAAAACAACTACGACAAGACCAAGTGCAAAATGTATTTTGAAGCGTACAAGGAGTGCAAGAAAGCTTGGAACGAAAGAAAGGCTGTTAGGAGAAGACAAGGGCTCCCTCCAAATGACCCGGCAGCTGTGTAGACTTTTACTTTATAATCATCAGAGCGGCTTCAGAACAATCTCCGAAAAATCCTTGAAGTTTTAAAGGCTTCAAGAGGCAAATGAACATCGACATTGAGATGGAGATGAGCGAAAGGAAAAATGAACTGCGGGCCAATTTGAGAAGGAAGACAATGAAGGGTACTGGAACCTCAGCTTCTGTTGTTTTCTAAATTATCGAAAAGGCGATTCTTTGGGTGTATTCCCTCTTGCAGTGAGATAAGGAATGTAAGGGTCTTTAATTTGTTAAATTTGACATATGAAACCCAGTATATTTTGAGGTCACTGAAGAACAAAAATATTTATTGACAAAAATATTGTTACTTAAACTCAAATGAAGCAGGCTCTGAAATGAAATATGTATGGATAAACGGAAAGGTTTTCTTATGTAATAAATTTTTCTACAAATTGCCTCTACTGTCATGAGATCCTGGTTCAGGGCTGCAAATAACAGTCGCTCATCGGATATTGACCAACCAAATTTGCCAGTGTCCGATGAGATCTCACCTGTGTTTGGACATTATGTCGGGAGAATTTTTTTGTCGTAAATCATTCTACGGTAAGGAAGAATGAAAATCTACCTTGGGTAAATCTTACTTTGTGTTAGGACGATCTTGAGGTCATGTAACAACAATGACTTCACTAGATACAATGATTTTTTTAGTGTACACCACAGCTATATTCTCCCCTTGGACGGCAAGAGCCAGGTGAACAGAAATAGCTTTCAGTCATCTGTGCCTATTTGCAAGGCAAAGCAAGGCTGTGCTCTTGCAGAGCCAAGTGGCCCCTTGTGGTTAACTTTTGCTCCCAGGCATCTTGAATCATTTTGCCAGGCACCCTGGATTTTACAGGTTCTGAGCACTGGGCTCCCTTCACTTTTTCTTAGAGCACAGCTTTGCCAAGGAAGTACCTTTTTCCTTAGTTATTCTAGACCCTGAGCTGTGGTCTGGCCTCGGGAATCAAACCTGACGTCCAACAAATTACACTCGTGTGCAGAGAGCCTTGTCCCATCATCCTTCCATTATGGTCACTGAAACTTTGATGTAGACTGTGAGCAATCTCTCTTTTTCTTCAGAGTTAGTGAGGGGAGTACATGCGTGTACGACCGTCGAGCGGAGGCATTTGCATGTCTCGATGGACTAAGACAAAACAGAGACTGCTGGTAGTCTACTTCTGATGTTGAGGACTTCCAAACAAAAATGAAAACCCTCTTTGGGAAGCTAGAACAGCAAAATAGTTGTTTTTGTTTGATTAACAGGATCCGATAATTGCCCAGAAATAATCAGAGAATTGAAGGCAGTGCCAAGCTAATTTTTCAAAGAATTTGCTGAGAAGGAAAACAGAACCATCATCCTAGAGAAATAACTGACAGAATTCCATCTTGCCTAAAAAAAAGGAAAAGCATTTTTAAAGCCCCCAGTAAAAAATTTTGTCAGAAATCTGTGGTCTCTGTTTCTGAAACAGAATCTCCACACATCTACCTCTTCCTTTTGCAGAGATGGGGTATAAAGGTGACACGTACATCCATTTTCTTTTTTCTCTGCTATTTTCTTTATTAATATCAGTTGAGAGCCCCCAATACAAAGTCCTGCGGTTTTCTCCATGGGGGAGTGCGTAACATTGCTGTGACACGTACGATGTAAACATGGCGACCTTCTTGCTACCTACTGCATCTGCAAGGATCGATATTGTCTGATATTTCTCGCTAAAGGTAGCAAACGTTGCTTATTCACAGAAGATTCTTCAGGAATGGGATTTTTTTAAGTTTAGAAAGGAAGAGGTTTATTAGTTTCCAGGGTAAGTTATGCATATCACACGAATCTTAGCAGTTAGCCAATAATCGAATGCGCCTTCACGTTTAAATCAGCCTGATCTTAGATCTCAGGTTCGACGTTGTCTTGAATGTGTAGAAAGCACTTTTTTGGAAATTATCGTCTCAATAGTATTCCCTTGGCGCTGGTGGGATTTTTGTTTTACTTAACTGAGTGGTCATTTCGTTGTCAATAGCTTGATGACGTTGGAATGCGTTCAAGCTTTTGATAGTATCTCTTCAAAAGGTTTCCACCACAGAGAGCTTTCCTACCAGGAAATATGACAGATATAAATACAACATGAATAATTATTTCCAAGTGTTTTTAGTATCAATTTGACGTTTATACATCTTGCAAGTATAATTTTTTGGTGGTACAATTGTGATGCTTTTCGGGTGCTTGTTTGGTAAATAATTTATTTTTCAAATTCATCGGATATACTGTCTCTTGAGAGGTATAAATATAACTTCGCTCCTGGCTATGTTTTAAGTGCTAAAATAATGAATGGTAATTCAGGTAATCTTACCATTTCCACAGTCAAATGATTAGTTCTGTAGTATTGTTTAATCAATAAGTTAAGGTACTGATAAGTTATAGTGATTTCTCTTGTCTGTAAACATTGTCCTTGTTATTCAAATGTGCCAGCCACTGAAACAAAAGAACCCATTTCCTCAACAGCTAATGAGTCTGTTGTTAGCTTATTAATATTGATAGGTAACGTAATGCGAACTGTCGCTATTAGAGACCTTTAGATTCAAGGATGAGGATAACTACAAGGAGAAGTTTTAACTTTAATTTTTTTTTTGTGCACTCTCAAAAATTGTCACCCTGGGAAGCTTCACTGTACTTTCTTCACCAGAAATTTGAAGGAGGTGAAGCCCCCTCCTGAGTGCAAAATTATAACCTGTCTCCGCCACTACAATTTTTTTACTAAAACTGTTGTAGAACACTTATTTTTTTGTTGAATTCAGTAACATGCTATTAAATTTTTAGATTAAAACTCACCATGTCATGGTTTACTGAGCTTGCGGGCAAAGCAGAGTCACTTTTGGAGAAAGTTGACAATGTTGCAGCCACAGCATTGACAAAGGAGCAAGCTGACATTCAAAATGTTGGACTAAACAGCAGTGGTACTACAGCTTTACCATCTGTTACCCTTGCTTCTACTCAAAGAACAAGTTCTGTACCACCCAGTGGACAACAGGGAAGTATTACAAGATCAGCAAGTGACACTAATGTTTTAGGTTTGTATATTCAGTGATTCACAGTTCGCATGATAGAAAACAGGCATGGGTGGTCTTCTTGTACTTAGAAACTGTTCATATGATGCCAAAATGACTTTCACTCTGGAGTGAGTTTCGTTCCAGAGTGAGGTTTGTATTGCATTCACCTGATAAAATGGAATGGCTCAGCCTGAAGAGTTCTTGCTCACACCAGATCAGATATGGATGTACAACATGTCCCAGACCACACGATTTTCAATTTTTTTTTCGTTTTCAGTTTAGATTTGCAATTTTTTTTTCGTTTTCAGTTTACATTGTACCAGAATGAAATTTTGTACCAAAACGAATTTCAATTCAGATTGAAAACTGGAATGGACTCATTCCAGAATAACATACTGGAATAAAATGTCAGATTGATATCATGTAACCAAATACAGAGAAATATATGAAGATGGAATGAACTTTTTCCAGAGTGAAAATCATTCCAGATCATAGCCGAGCTAACAAAATATAAATAAGGAGCAATCACATTTTGGCTTGCCTTGGGACCATTACTTCCTTGTCTTGGGTAATGATTTGCATTTTGGGAAAGTGACCTTTAAAAGTTACTTGCAAGGAAGAAAATTGACTAGTCCCAAACTAGCAGACAGGAATTTTTCAACCCCTGTGTAGGGCGATGGAAACTGTCATGCCAATGACATCCTGTTTTAATGATGAATACCATAAATAGATTGTGAGATAGTGTTAATTCCAAACCCCAGGTCACTTTCCCATCAAATAAAATGTTGTAAAATGAGTATGTTCAGTTTAACGCATTACAATTATTGTGTAGTTCCAGAAAATATCCAGACCCCCACCACGGAGGGAATTTCACTTAGGGCCCCCCCACCTCCCTGGATTTTCCATTTTTCCAGGGAACTGATGACCCCCCACCCCTTCGGAATTTCCACAAATGTGACAAAGACCCCCCAACCCCTCTGGAAAAGTTCATTTTCACGAAGAAAGACTATTAAAGTAGAAGAATGAGGCAACTTATGGTTAGTATCCAACGGTTTCCATCAGAAGCTTGTATGCTTGTGTATCCATTTATTTGAGTGATCTCGCAACATTAAAACACACTACACCACCACAAAGTAACCTGATCTGTAATTTTTGCTCATCTCTTACTTTAAATGAAACAGAGAAAGTTAACAAGTCGGTTATATTTGTGAATTCACCTTAATCAGGGCAAGCTTCGATTTGTTATTCGTCTCATGGGCGTAATGTTGATAGAATTAACGCCATTTCGTGCGGGAATGCAGAACAAGTCAAACTTACGACCACAAAATTAATGCAAAACAAAGAGGAGAATGAAAACTCTGAATTCTGAAATGATAACAATGAATACCCCCTGCATCTTGAAGATACTTGAAGGGAAACCAAATTCAATTTACTGTTTTTCGATCGACTGATGCGACGTGATGCGCGATCGCCGTAATAAATGTTTGGTGAAATCGACACCATTTCAGCGAGAATTCGATCAAGAACATGCCACACGTTCAACTACAAAATCAAGGGAAAATGAAAAGGAGAATAAAAACAAACTCTTCATTCTAAAATGGTTACAATGTATAGCTTGTGCTTCGTGAGGCAAAATTGCCACTCTTCTGATCTATCGATCGACTGACGCAACGTGTTGTGTTGCGTGATGTGTTGCATGCGTTGATGTTTTGGGAAAGACTGGTAACGAGTAATGGCGGCCGAATATACGAGCATGCGATAACACGAGTTGTAGTCGGTCTAATTCCTTTGAAATTACATCCAAAACGCTTTTGGAAGAAAGGAAACCTGGTTAAGTTTAAAAGGAACAATCTTAAGTGATATATTTCAAGTTATTTATGTCCTAAAAATGATCTACCAGGTCGGTAAGAAGCAATGTTCGATCTCAGGTCGAAAACAAAATGATATTGCCCCCCTGGAAAGTGATTTTATGGTCCAACCCCCCTCCCTTCTGGAATTTCCTGGGCCTCTGACCCCCCCACCCCCCTGGAATTTCCAATTCCCTCCGTGGTGGGAGTCTGGATATTTTCTGGAACCACACATTAGAAACTGTCTTCTTTTAGCAATGTGGTTTCTCACAGTTGTTCAAATGGTAGATATCAATATGCTGTGGGGAAATAACTATGCAGTGGATAAGTGTTGGAGAAACCAATCTTGTTATCCATTGGCAGTGTGCAAAGAAAGTTGTGTTCGATAGCCCGGGGCTAGTGGATTTTGCAATCGGGTCTAGTGAATCCTGTTCTTTACTTGCCCAAAGGGACTGAAGTTTTTTGGGAAATCAAATTACAGAAGAACTGTAATCAATGCTGCTCATCAAAAATCTTTTTGGGCTACTTAAAAGACTCTTGGGCTAGTGCATACTAGCAACAACTTGCCAGAATGGCAAGCCGTAAAACTGACTTTCTTTGCACCCTGATTGGATAGAGATTATTATTCAGTGGATTAGCATTATCTACCTTTTGATTGACTGGAGCCAGAGCTGTTTGTTCATCTGTTAACCTCTCGTATCTGGGAATCATTAACTTTGATCTCATGCCCACTCACACCAGGAGACTATTTATCTTGTGTGACTTAAAATATTGAGCTATTACAAGCCTATTCATAACTCTCTCAAAGTTCTCTAATCTTAGTGGCTGTCAGCAGCCAAACGTTCTTGACAACAAAGAAACTGTGAAATCCCATGTGACTCTCATTTTACTAGGATCTCTAGTAACTGAACCCAAAAAATAAAGCCGACATTTTGCGAGGCCACCACTGCTTTCCCCACAAAATAATGTCTGAGAAACAAGTGCAGAAATTCCATACTGATGATCTGGGAAGTGGTTCTAGTTGGTTAAAGCAAATTTTGAGCCAATCACAGGGGGTTCATTAAGGTTTTGAACAGGAGGGCAACTGAGTTTGACACCCGGGCAAAGAATTGGCAAGGCCCGGAGGGCCTTGCCCTCTAGGGGGGTCTGGGGGGATGCTCCCCCGGAAAATTTTGAAATTCTATAGTCGTAAGGATGTGTTTTCCTGCATTTTGAAGCTGCAGACAATGACTTTCAACAACCAAAAAAAGATAACTTTTCTAGACAATTTAATCATGATTTGATACCAATACCCACCACACAAATTGGACTTTTTGGTTCTCTTTTAATAGCTCTGCTCATAATAATCTTTACTCAAACTCACCATCAGCATCTGAGCCGTAATCAACTTATCTTTAAAATTTCAATGACTAGACGGGAGGAGCACTGTTTTAACGTTTTTAAATTAATTCATTGGCGTAAACCATAAGACGAACAAAAATCACGCTTCGCTTCCTTGAACATGATGATTAAGCCATTCAATATATACAGGCAAGTAAAAGGTTAAATCACAAAGAAGTCTACTCATCTCTTGGTCTTTTCTCTACTGGAGGCTCTTTGGTTGAAGCCGAAAAATAATACGCTATCGAACGCGTTCTTTTCTGGGCCGCCATGCTCACATGCTCGCAACACTGCTACATTTCAGGTGGTCGTTTATGAAGCACAGTTCTTTTCGCAATGTATTATGGGGCGATTCTTGTTTTTAACACACAAAGAACGAGGGGATTTCATGCCGCGTGTAATAAAGTGGAAATTGCACCGCAAAGTATGTTTTACACTCGATAAGACTCATCAAGAAATGGGCACGATTGTAACTTAAAACTGTTTTTGATCGTTCCCTGTATTAAAAAGAAGTTCTTTGAGATGTAAAGCAGCCGGGCAAAGTCGTGTTCACAGCCGGTCAATTTGCCCGGTGCCCGGCCCTTAATGAACCCCCTGCAATCAGAAGCACTACCCAGGTCTGGGTTGCGATGGTCATTAGTATAGAATTTCTGCACTCGTTTCTCAGATGTCATTTTGTGGGAAAGCCAGTGGTGGGGTCGCAAAATGTTGGCTGTTTTCTCTGGCTACCAGTAACTTCACACAATAGTGACAATCATGCCTTCTCATTTCTTTCTGCACTCAGGTGGCCCCACAGTTCCCATCAAGTCTCGTCTCCCTCCTTCTGGTACCAGGACTCCCCCTAGGGTGGCACGAACAGAAAACAAAAGTGATGATAAATTATTTGAGTTCCTAAACAGCAACATTCCTGCTACAAAAGAACGAAAAGTGATCAAGCCAAAGGTGTCTGTGGAAAGCTCATCAGATGTGGTGTCAAATCCCGTTAGTAATATGGAGCAGACCCGAGTTGATTCCATAGATGGGAAACTTAACGAGGGTGAGCTGGTACACTTTCTTCTCTGTGATGCCCTTAAGAGTTTTATTTTATCCCTCACGTAGCGTGTAGAGATTCTCTACTGTAATTTTTCAAGAATCGTGAAGTTTTTAGTAGTATATCACATATAAAGAAATATCCATTTTTTATCATGATATAGTGTTTAGGGTCGCAAAAATCTTTGTTAAACTCTTTAACAGCAGATGAGGTTAAGTGTAGGTGCCCTAGAGGATGGTGATGCCAGGCGTAGAAGAGATGAACAGAATGTATCCATGGCAACTAGTGAGTGGTAACCACCAAAACTCATCCCGAAAGGTTCTTCTAACTGACGAATGATGCTAAATGAGTTTAAAACCAGTGTAGTGATTGGATTTTAGGGAAGTTAAGCATGGTGGGAATCTGGATTGCAAGTCACGTGTATCTTGCTTCCCTGATTGGTGGTTCTCTATTTCTAGATTACAGTATTCCATGGCTAAATATTATTTTGTTACTAGGAATCATTGCAAAAACTGATGATAAGATTCATGAAGTCAGTGCTGTTTCTAATGGTTCCAATGTGGAAGAGCCCAAGTCACAAGAAATGCCTCAGCATGATGTTGTTACAATAAACAGTGGCCACCACACAGATGATCACCATATGTCTAACCTTGAACTAGAAAACACATTACTGAGAAAAGAGGTGGCTTCTTTGAATGAAGAAATGGTGTCTGTAGTGCAAAGGGCAAAAGAAGCTGAAAAAAGTAAGTATCAGTTATATTGCACCATGAAAGAGCAGAATCCAAATCTTCCATGATTGACAACTCATTGCTATGCAGGGATTTTGCTAAGAACTGGCTTCCAGCTAATTTCACTGGCTGAAAAAGAGCTTACCACTAGCCTTAATTGCAACGAAAACAAAGACATGAGGAAATTTAGAGATGCAGTTGAGTGAAAAAGCCAGCTTGACTAACAAAAGAGCCTGCTTATCTTCTCCTTAGCTACATCCCTGACTGTCTGTGAGGTGGTTAAGACAACAGACTCTTCACATCCTCTATATTTCCTCAGACAGACCAGAAGGAATGTAACAAATAGCAAGTAACACAAGCATGAGATGGGAGGGGGGTAAAAATGGGCAAGCAAGCAATACTCGAGGCAATGAATTTGCGGGGCCTCTGTTTTTACTTGCTGCTCATTTTTATATACCACTTACTAACCGAGAGTGAGGTCATAACAGGGAAATCTCAGACCGAGGTATCGCTTGGTCAGTACATCAAGGCCGAGGTCTGAGATTTCGCTGTAGTGACTGGTCGGACAAGGTTAATAAGTTATTTTTTCTATGGCCTTTTCATTATGGCCTGCGGTCAAATGAAACCATTAACTTGTCAGCGGAAAACTTTAAAAAACATGTCACCTCAGTGAGGTGTACATTTGAGCCCATGATACAGCCATGTCACACTGGTCAGCGGGTACCATTTTGACAGCTGTCAATTGGCCATAACATTGATGTCCACTATCAAGTTGAACACAGATTGTATATGTCTTGGACACTTTACAGTGTCGCTAGTATTGCCCAGTCATTACAAAAAAATAATGCCCACTTAGCAGCGAATCATAGCATGTGTACTATTGTAGCCATCTATTAGAGAAGCTTTCTCTGCTGTTGACCCAGTCAGTCCTGAATAAACCTGACAGTGTTAATTTTGTTTTAAGCAAGATGACTTCAAGAAAGGTTAAGGTCAAGGTTAGGTAATTCATTAATTACTTTCTTTTTCTCTCAAAATCAGGAACAAAAGAAATAGAGAAACATCTTCAAAGATGCCAGGGACAACTGTTAGCTTCTGAGGAAATTACAAGACAGCTGAGGTCAAAGGAAGATGATTTTACAGAGGCACTAAATGCTAAGGACTCACAGTTAGCAGTCTTGCGTGTTAGAGTACAGGAATCAGATCAGGAGTTGCAAGGCAAGCGTAAGCAGATTGAGGAGTACCAACTTGAAAGAGAAAGGTCAGAAGTGTAAAGTACTCGTTATTGTAACAGGCCAGCCATTTGCAAAGTGAATGTGCAGGATTGCAAAGTGCCTTCTTACTCGGGTGACTTGAACTGACCAACAATACAGTTAAACCCTGTTAATACGGACACTGATGGGACCACGAAAAGTGTCTGCATTAACGGGGAGGCCGTAATAAGCTGGTCATGTCATTAAAGTAAAAAAAAAACACCTTTTATTAGAACGAAATACCAAAGAAGTAAAAGAGGACTTAAGCATTGTCAAATTAAACATCTGTAACCTTCAAAAAGCTGTCATTATGCGGCTTAAGTCCATGAAAACACTTGAAAATCGCTCATTTATTTAGTACTTACTCAAAACCATTTTCTGCAAAATTCCTTTGATGCCAAAAATTGACTTCTACAAATCACCCTTATCTGGTGTATCGTAGTGCTGGGAACATGGACATGCTGTCAAAGTCAACTCAAGGTTTTTAATCTTAAAAAAGGAAAGGTCTATTACACGATACAGTTGATAATGAAGTGTCTGCATGAGCGAGGTTTGCTTTCTATGAGAATTTGTTGATTGGGCAAGAAATAAGTGTCCGTTGTCCGCATTAACTTGCATCCGTATAAGCGGGTTGAATTGAGAGAAAATGTAAAGGCTTTCCCCAGGGACAAACAAAACTGCCTGTAATAGTAAGGTGTCCATATTAAGCGGGTGTCCATAAAGCAGGGTTGGACTGTACTAGCATCTGCCACTTTGTTAAGTTAACTCTTCCATAGTTTTTTCAATGTTTGATAAAGATCAATTACCGAATATCCTGGATCCGTGGCTGTGGGCGCCTGAAAAAAAAAAATAAACGTAACGTCTGTAAAATTCTGCGACCTGTTGGAGTTGTATCTTCGAGTTCATTAGCTTCTAACAAATCACTTTTAAATTTGGCAACCTAACGTATTTTACATTGTAAGACATCCTTTCCGGCCATGTTGATGGATTTTCGCTAAGTGATCCCACTCAAAAATTGAAAAAGGCCATTAAGGGGTTTTTTGTGAAAATTATTACTATATTAATGATTTAAATCTTGTTCTTGTTTAACTCAAACTCGATATTCTAGTATTTGTTGGAAACATCAAGCTAGAAGATTCCAAGAGCATGCTTTATTTATCAACTGAAAACAACTACATGAATTATAATGTGATGACATTAACATGTGAATTATGTAATGATTATTCTCTTTGCATGAAGGTTGCTCCAAGATCATTCGGAATCCACTGGAGTGCATAGTCAGGCTTTGGATACACTGAAAGCTAAACTAGAAGAATCAGAGAGAAAACTCAAAGCTAGCCAGGAGTCTCATAAGAAAATGCAGGTCAGTTACTTAAAGCAATGCATGGTATTACAGTGTGTATACTTACTGGGCATAATAGCATATTTAATATGTTTTTAGCTGTGCGTCATTAGGGCACACACACATGAGCGAACCATGAGTGTTGTTTTTGTGTTGCCTTATTAAGCTGTACCTCATGTTGCTCGTTGATTTATTTGCAGGAATTCAAAGGGTAGTCTAAAGTCCAAAGCTCCATAAAATTAATTTACTTATTTACTTATAGGTCATGACATCCTTGCTGGCATTTTTTCAATTTGACCTCGTTGTCTCAAACAAAGTTCAAAATACACATGGTTTGCAGAGCTAGACAAGTAAATTGCTGTGCATTTCTTTTTTAGCAAGAGGCCATAGAAAGGCAAAATAAACTACAGGAAGAGCAACAAGCCATGGCAGAGTCACTCAAAAACATGCAAAAGAAACTTAATGAAGAGAAGAGTATCCTTTTATATGTAATATTTTCAAATAATTGTTTACAGTCATGGCACATGTCATTGATATCGATGATTCTGCAGATTTGGCAAAGGAGTAGAATCGGGTGCCAGCTGCATTCGGTATGTGTCTGTTTTTTTATTGTTATATATCATTTTTTGGCATTAACACCTTGAATGAAAAATTGGGCGAGTGAAATTTGACAATTTAAACTATGTAAGAAATTTTTTCAATTTCTTTCATTCAGGTACTTTATTCTCTCTAATAATCCTTCTGTCTCTTTTAAGCACCCTCCCACCTAAAAAGCTAAAATTTATTAGAGTTTCCCTCTTTAATTTCCTTAATTTGATTTATGGCGCAAACACAGTTCTTTGCCATCCAGTACATTTTTAATGATTATGTGCAGATTGCACAAATTCAAAGGTTTGGTTTAAGATATGTTGTGCCTTAAACAGTGGCTACTTCCAAGTTTTAACTCTCCTCTTTATTAGAACCCCTTCCCCGGAAAAAGGCGGGGGTAAAGGAGTCCTCCTGATCGGGTGGGGGGAGGTGTATTAGAGAGGTCGCGGTGTTTCAAATTAAGTTGAACTACAGCTGCATTCAGCCAATAAAACTGAAGAATTTTTACCAAAGTACAACAAGCAAGCATTCTAGGGCTCTCCATTTGTTAGAAATAGCTGGCCAGACCATTCAAATTGTAAAGAGAATTCCACTATTGATCAGGACTATCCAGCCACATCAGTCTGTTCTTAAATAATTTGCTCGGCATTGGTGACTGTTAGGGAAAATTTTGAGTGAAGGCTATCGTTTAATTTCAATATGACTGCCAGTTCTGACTTTTGGTAAGCTTCCTCAGTTTAGGTAGTGTGACCCTTAGCTATATACCAGATAAGAGCAACGAAAATACAGCAGCACTCAAGACTGCCAAAGCAAATCTAGAAACTGCGAAGCAAGAATTAAAGGATTACAAGGACAAAGCAGCCAGGATCCTTCAGGTACGAATTGGGCGGAGGGCTATAATTTTTTCTTTCCAGGCGCCCAAACCATTCCCGCACGGTTGTTCAAAAACAGTAACGTAGTATTCATAGTTTTGTGTAATTTCCGGGCTCCCTCATAAAACAGTGCATCCTTTTCGAAATTTCTTGCAGTTATCCCTTCTCCCACCCTGTACAAAGTTGAAACCGGAAAAATTGTGGATACACGCGTCCAACGTTGTTTGTGGGGTGAGGGGAGGGGTTGGGTCTGTATGAATTGAAAACTCTCCCAGAAATGCAAAAGTGTCCCAAGACTTTTGTCCATGATTGTAGCTATTGCTATTCACCGAAAAAAATCGCTGTCCAATGTATATGTGTTCCGGAAACTATTTGCATTATCCATCAGATAGCGGTATATCCGGTAGATATCGTTAAGTTACTTATAACCAACAGGCGCCAGGTCGTAGGTTACACTAAAAAGTAAAACCAAAAAACAGATGACATGCAAACAAGATCTGAAGATTTCGCATTGTATAGATATTGGCGGTAGAATTGTTATTGGTAGCCTGTGAACAAGCCTTTGGTCGAGCGGGGAACTAGGGAGAGGGAAAAGCGAATTCTTTCCCCAAACAGAGAGCTTGTTCACAGGCTATGCTATTGCTCGCAGTTTTTACAGAAACGTTATCTGGGTCTTTCCTGTAACGTCAGCGCAGTATCCTTCGTGGAAAACTAAACGATTTTATTGCGGTTGGCTTAGCCAAGTCAAGGCAAAACACTGGTCAGAAGAGAAGGAGTTCGCGGTTTCGATCAGGGCGATCCCGTACCTATTTGAAAGATTGTTTTTGATTAGCTGGGAAAACAATAGGGATTGTCACATAACAATGCCCCTATCCCTGAAAAGAATGGAGGTGCAGATTAAAGGGGACCAGTGAAATAAGAGGTTTAGAACGGTGCAGGTCTAGCCTGAGATCATGCCCTCTCCCTATTATCCCTTTATGACTCTCACGGGAAGAGTTTTTCCCTCTCGAACCAAAGAAACGAAGAAGCCAAAAAAAAAAATAACGCCTGATCTCAGGTTAGTGCAGGTCTATTCTTCGATCATCGTCGCCGGACCAATACTCAGGGTCTTAAATAAATTGAGGAAGACAGCAGTACTTATGCACTACAAAATGCCCGGTGGGCATTCAACAACGTTATATACGGAAAGGCGCCGCCTAGAGGTCCAACCCTTTGGTATACCCACTTTTGGCAAAAACGGTACCCCTTCTGTATAGCTTCCATTGAAAAATATTGTCCCTAAGCCTTTCACATACCTGTTTGATAAATGTTGAAAAATGATACGGTCATACCGTGCCTTTGTTCGAAATGCTATATTTTAATTAAAGATCCTTTAAATCCCTACCCTTTCATATACTTCGACTCGTGAAATTCCTTTCCTTTCATATACCTGAAAAGCCTGTAAAATGTACCTCTCTCGGGTGGAGCTTCCCCGGGGGGGTGCAAAATGGTGCTATATGACCTTCGCTTGACTTACAGCTTGGTAGAAATTATCACATTATCAAGTTTTTTGTCCTTATTATTTGTGCTTTTCGCCCTTCCAGGCTAAAGACAAGGTAATAGCAAGCCTTCGCGATGGTAGTAATGGAGAGGTTGCAAGCGGCATTAGTAGTTCAGAGTATGAAGAGGTTTGCCATGAAAGAGACATGTTGAGAGATGAGGTGAACCAGTTCAAATACCGCATGGAACAGCTCAAGGCTGATCTTCAGGTAAATATACTCAAACCCTGCAGTGTTAACTACTGTAGTTGCTCGCTGTCCAGTGTGGGCAATTTCATACAGAGACATAGTTCAGTAGACTATTGAAAAAGTCGTTCATCCTATTTAATAACACTCGCTCTCTGCTCTTAAAGTGAGACTCGTGAGGCCGACTTGTGGCAAGTCTAGTAGCTCACTTGTGTGGTACCCTAAACCTTAAGCCCGTGTACCGACTGTCGTGAAAGAGGCAGGCATTTTAGGGGTCCTAGAAAACTTTATAAAGGTTTTTAACTTTTATTTCCGGACGATTAAATGCAGCCCTTTGTAAATATTTAAGTCAGCTGGTTCGGAATTTGTAAGAAGGTCTGATTGAGTTTTAACGTACTAAATAAAACAGGAGGTGGAGCAACAGCAACAATCAGAGGCTGAGTTGGCTCGGGAGAAAGTGGAGGAGCTAGAGAGTGCTTTGGACGATGAAAAGAGAAAGAGAGACGCTTGTGAACAACAGATACATCAGCATCTTCAGGTGTGGACAACAAAACTATCGTTTGAAAACGGAAAATATTTTTACAGTAAAATAAATTTTTTCCACCTCTTAGCGCTGAACTCGTTGACTTTAAAATATGACAAAATTATGATACTCACGAGGGCACTTTTTTTTCCTACTCTCGACGACTCGACTGCCGGGCGTGGGCCGAGTTGTTCAAAGCTGGGTTAAGATAACCCACGGTTAGTGCGAGATTTGAATTCAGATTTGAAAGCTCTGAAAAAGCATTTCAGTTTTAATACTTTTTGTCGACAAGTTGGTGATTGAAAGCTCTAAATATAACAGAGAAAATTATCCGAGAAAATGCTTTTGAACACAAGAAAAAGGAACCCGGGTTAAATTTAACCTCGGGTTAAGCGCTAATCGGCCTTCGAACAACTGGGCCCTGATTACTAAAACAGCTTTGATTGGTGGTATCCTGTCGTAGTAAAATCTCCAAAGAAAACCGGAATTATGCTTCTAAACTGGGTCTTAAAATCAGCGAGCAGTTTCTCTCTAACAAACATGGACAGCATATTATGCATAAATCTAACGTCAGTTTCTCCTTTAGGACCTGCATTACGCCCAAGAAGAATTACGAACAAACAAAACCAGTTTCATGAGTCAAATACAGGCGAGTTCATCTGATCGAGTTTTATTCATTTTCCTATTTGGTAAGGAGTACCTTGTGCCCATATACTAACGGTCTTGTCTTTTTCTACAGGAGAGAGAAAATGAAATTCAGAAATTGAGAAATCAGGTAAATGAGAGTGATTTTATAGGGTTTAGTTGAAGGAGCTGGTCCAAATCCGGACAGTGTCAGTTTATTGAGTAAAAGAGGATTTGCGTCTAGTCTATATGCTTAAAGAATACGGATTCAGACAAAAGATAGGAAAGTAAGAATGAAGTTATGTTTCGGTACATCCTATCACAAAGGCTTGAAAGGCTTAAAATGTTTAACAATCTAATACCTCATAGTTGCCACAGGACAGGAAATGGTCAGGGAGTTTCAATTTGAGTCGGGAAAATTGGAATTGTAACATCCACAGTCTTAATACTGTTAAAAGCAAGGAGAATCATTTCAGGTCATTGTCCCGCGGCTTACAATGACGCTATTCGTCGATGAGGACATTCTGAAAACTGACATCTGTGGCAACCACCATGATCTAGCTGATATTATAGAGATGAGAAGACTGAGATACTAAACGCGTTCTGACTGGTACTTCCACTTTTCGGTGGACTAATAAACGTAGGATGTTGGAAAAACACGAGAAAAGTTTTCGATTCGGGATTTTTAATGAACTTCAGTTGGGAGTCGGCTAACTTGTGATGAACAGCACACCACACTGCTATCAATCACTTTAAGGGAGTGTGACTGGTATTGCTGGGTTACAGTCAACGCTCTCAATAGACTCCTATGTAAGCCGAGCTCCTCCCTAAAACGGACACCTAGAGTTTGAAGGGGGGCGGGAGGGTGGTATCCTTGCCGTTGTTCAGGCATATTAGAGTTCTTTAGATTCTAAGACGAGGACGACTACGAGATTTTCCTAGTACTAAGTAGTGCGCGTGATCCAGCGTCATTTGGGCGGAAAACGTGATAGCCTTCGTCATTCTATCTACTATGAGGTTTAGCGAGAATGTCTTAGTGGTGGAAAAAAGATGTTAGAAGTTTTATCTTTCTTCGATAGGAAGGGGTTTCAACCTCCATCAACAGTGCTAATTTCTTTGGTGAAAGTTCAATGAAGCTTTCCGGGGAGTCTATTTTGTGAGAATTTGCGAAACAGCTTTATGTCAAATCCCCGGTCTTTGTCGTTGTTCTCGCCCTCAAATCCTTGGACTCTCCACAGGGCGGGTACTTCTCTAACACGCGGGACACTTTTTTTGTTCCCAGCGGTGTCCGCTAATTAGCATCTTAGTTGACTGCATTTGAAACATGTTGAAAAGCGTGATTACAAATAATAAAGAACCATGATCTTATTGATACTATAGCTTGCAACCAAGGCTCTTACTTCTACAAGTGAGGAGGAATTAGAGAACCGTGTTAGAACATTGACGGAAAATCTTATCCAGAAACAAACACTTATTGAGGCTTTGAGCACGGAGAAGAACTCTTTAGTGCTACAGCTTGAGCGACTGGAGGTAATAAACAATGTAAACGTCTATCTTTTACTTATTTTGTTTGTACATTTTTCCGTTTTCATTATATTTATAGTTCTCTCAGTGACCTTAATCACTGAGGCGAAGGTGAATTTCAGCTGGTGAATGAGTGTCTCAGAGGGCATCTCAACCTACGCGACACCTGATAGGAAATAGGACAAAATAATAAGTCTTAGCGTTGACACGTAAGCTTAAAAACAAAAGTACTGGATAGAATTGAGGAGTTTAGACGATCCGGCCTATTCTACCCTAACAATTGGCTCCCACTCAAACAGTAATTGCCCTCCAGCGCATTAGTTAAATTAATATCAAACTCGCCTCACGTGCAATATGCTGTGGAGTGTGTTCGAGAACATACAGTGTAGAGGTTCTTAAAATATTAAGGACATTAACTGGTGGTTCTATGTATTTCTAGGATAAGCGGCTATTTCCTACAACTGAGTGGATGTGGGTAGTGTAGAGGCCTCTTCAATAAAGGAAATAATAGCTGATTATGCAAATGCTTAAAAAATTTTCAGGGTTACCATAGTCAAGGTTGAAACAAAATGTGTTTGAGGTCAGGGTATATTAAAAGTCAGGGAATATCTTACTTCTTGGCAAAGTCAGTTGTCAGGGAATGCCACGGGAAACGTTTTCTAGAAGATTATAAAAAGCAATCAGTTTCATCTGGAAAAAAAATTTATATTCTTTAGTTGTACTGTGATCGATTTTGATTCAGTGAAAATAAAGTACATTCATTGAAAAACGCAAAGGTCGAAACTGTAGAGCAGAATATTCATTTTTAAAATTTTTTTTTTTGGCAAAAGTTGAAAAAGTGAAAGTAAGGTAAATTATAATCGTTTAGGTCTGAGAAAAGTCAAATTTTTTCGTTGCACAGTGGAGTCCCAGGCCTTTCGTTACAGCACGATCACCTGCCCAATTTTTGTAAGAAACGTTTAGGTAGCCATGGACACTAGGGCCTCATTCTCCAGGCGTGGGCGTTCCGATGCGCCAGGTGGGCGAGAATCGAAGGAGCTTCGAGACACCCATGGCTGGAGATTCAACCGATAGAAACTCCTTGCCTTCGAATTTAAATATTGCGATCTTACTGGACTCGTGTGAGTATCCAGCAGCTTCGATTGAAAGGGTATAAATTGCAAAAAGGCTTGTCGTTCCTAGCTTTAGTTGGCATGGCATCATTCATACCTTCGTTGCTCTCTGGTTAGAGGGGAAGGGAAAGCGGAAATCAAAGCGCGCGAGCCTTTCATGTCCTTACACTCCTCCGACCCCCTGTTTCTTTTCACCTTCAAACGCCCACCACACAGGCCACTTTCAAGATTGAACTTGATCAAGGTCACACGTTAGTTTTAATGTTCTGACCTTGGATACTCGCCGACCATGATATTCCTTTTAGTAAGATAACTTAAAAATTGCATTTTTCCAACATCACGAAAAACGGCCACTTATGTAATAAATTTTAATGATATGTAGGCAACGATCTGTAGCTAGTTCAGGAACCTTCTTAGCATCCTGACCGTATTCACCTTATATCAATCACACAATTAAAATGGTCGTTGTCACGAATGCATAACTACCATGAAAAATGCATAACTTTAATAACTACCAAACCTTCTTTCTTGATTCTCATCTTGTTTTCTAGAAACAATATAGAGATGTGCAAGCGTCAGCCTCGAAACTAATGGCCGGACCATCGGCGTCTTACAACGGATTTGATGACACTGACGAAAATACACGTTTGTATTTTTTTATTGTCTTTCAAGAATTTCTGAAAAGTTAGAAAAATATTTAATTGTCGGTGCGATTCCTCGGTATAGATCGGAGCTGAAACTTTTTTGTTGCGTTAACGAAAAATCGATGTAAGGGGCCGACCATTTAACTCTTGAGGGGAGGGGTGGGTGATTTCTGGTCATCAAAATTTTTTTTTTCTAGCAATCTGGTGGGCAGAATATTATTTTTCCCTTTTCTTCCCATAAGCTTTCTACTACATTTGTGCTGCATGCAATTTTTTTCTTCCGACAAACGCTTGCAGGAATTTTTTTTTAAAAATCACCGCCCCCCCACAAAGAGTTAAATGGTCGGCCCCTAAATAGCACAAGTGGGGGAGGGGGGCATTACACATCGTAATCTACGATTTAGTCATAAAAACGTTTAATGGAGTAGGATTGACGTTGGATGTGATAAATACGAAACGGCAAACTGATCCTTACGGCAAGGCGATGAAGAAGTAAACAAAAGAATAAAACAAAAAATATATATTTAAACAAATACCGTTTCATATTTTTCTACAAGGTTAATTGTACTGATCCAGGTCTACAACTGGGCGAGACGGCACCACTCATTGGTTTGTTGCTGTGCACTTGCTGATATTAATATATTTTGGATCTGATAGATTGCCATAACTTCTGGCCCTATGATGTTAGACAGATATTGCGAGGCTATCGATCTTACAGGTCTCGCATTCTCTACTTTCTATACTGGACCATGTGAAAAGTTCTAGAAACCACAGAAAAAAGTGAATTCTCTGGACAATGTTTACAATATTTGTCAGGTTTTGAGTTTCCGATTCGCCTTCCGCTTTCCATAAACGGGCGACATTGCCGTTTTACATCAAAAAAGGTGATGTTACACGGGTCGATTCGCAACGATGATTTTTAGCGCAACACAGCGTTACAACATTGTTGTTAAATTGTTTCGAATCACTGCAATATTTTACCAACATTTAAACTGGGGCGATCCCGCATCTACTTGAAAGATTGTTATTGATTAGCTGGGAAAACAATAGGGATTGTCACATAACAATGCCCCTATCCCTGAAAATAATGGAGGTGCAGATTAAAGAGGAAATAAGAGGTTCAGAATGGCGCGGGTCTACTGTTTGAACCCTGTGTTGCGCTAGAAATCGTCATTGCGAATCGTCCCGTGTCATATTACCTTACGTGCCTTTACCCGTATAAAATGCTCCGGCAGATATCAATCAAATTTCATCAGGGAGCAGTAACCATGATATTTATTGGGTGATTTGTAAGCATAGCATTAAAAAAGTAAAAAAAGTTGGCCCAATTTTTTCAAGTTTAAATCCATGTCCATCCATCGCAGACTACAGGAACAAGGTTAATGCCTGAAATAAAGGCTTAAATAACAAAACTGGAAGAGAGAGAGAGAGAGAGAGCAAATAGCGTGACAAATCCCTTTAAATGTATAGACAATGATTATCTTATGTTTTTTAATGCATGGGAAAATCGATTGTTCAGTCTGTGCCGTGAAATAGGATATTCGTCGATTATTTTGTAATTGATCGGCTTATTGTTTTCCAAGATAAGGCAAAATTTAATGCGAAGTAGACTAATTAAAGGACAGATATACCACATTTCGCGATGACATCATAATTCAGTAGCATTTTATTTTTAGCAAAAAAGTAGGAAAAAATAGAATGTTAAAAAGTAAAATAAAGCACATGCAGGGTCGGTATATAGATTCAAGGAAAGGTACGATCATAAACGGAATGAGACACGAAGAATTATTCCGTTTATGTTCGTGCGCGGATTTCGTGGTAACACTTTGTCTGTTAGACTTATGCTTCTGCTTCTACCCTACGCTGCATGCAGTTTGAATCTAATTTGTTCTTTTGACTCCATTGTAGTGTCTCGAGTGAGATCAATATCGTCAATAATGCCATCACAGCTCAACGACTCGAGAAAAGTCAACAGGGCAGTCAATGAAATCGATAAATTCAGGTAACTTAATATTTGTTGCATCTGGAAGGCTCTGTTCTCGGTTCATGAAAACCCGATACAGTGAAATGAAATAAAAATTGGGATCCTTGAGTTTTTTCCAAGAATATTACAATCGCTGGCAAGTGTAGCATTTGCGAACAATCATCGGCGTGGGGGGAACTTTCGATGGAATATTAAGGTAGCGTAAACATTTCTAAAAGGTTTCTGAGAGAGTAACATCATATCAGTGTTGTCTAACAAATACAGCTAAGTAACTGGAGAGATCATGCTTGTGGAAAGAAAAAAAAAACCGAAACGTCAATTTTGAAGACATTAATGCACAATACCGTTGTTATTAGTTTAAAAGCTTATTAATTGTGTACATTTTAGCAGCTTTAATGTTTTTTGCTTTTACCATAGCGCAAACAAAAAAAAAACGGTCCACAGACACGCTTTAAAAATTTTCTTTTGAGTGGTTTTAAGATCTTTGCAGGCGTTCAATGCGCGAAACAGTATTTCTCGAAAAGCGGCTGAAGGTTCCGGGTTTCTCTTATTGTTTTTTTTTTTACTTTTTTGCAGTATACGACTGGGTCTTTTTCTGAAAAGATATCCAATCGCACGACTCTTCGTCATCATTTACATGGTAAGAATTTACGCCGTGCCGTCTCTGTGTAATTACTGTCTTTTCTCAACGATATCCTGTTTATACAGCCTGTTATTCATTGACTACGGCGGTTAATCGTGACACTTGCTTTTAGCGACGATAAACACTTAAATAAACGTTTATCGTCAGTCAAAATATATATCCTTGTGTGCCGACAAAATCGAGTAAAGGGCACACCCTCCCCACACTTCTTTGTGAACATCTGCCACCGTAGAAGGTGTAATTATCTACTGTCATTGTTCCAGTAATGCACCTTAAAGGTTGCAAAGGCGGAGCCGGCTATTTGAATGGTCTGTTTTGTAATTATTCTTGTTGCCTTTTCTTTTTCCTTAAAAGAAGAAATGGCAAAAAAAGTGCTACATACACAGAACAGCCGAATGTTTTGCGGTGTAACACGATAATTCTCTCTAACATTCGTTCATTTTGTCAATGTATTCTAAGTTACTGAAAGGACGTATTGTTTATTCCTTGGTACACTTGCTTGTACCATGTGCATTCGTACCAATATAGTTTTTTTCGTATATTTTTTATTTTTCTTAGGTACTGCTTCACTTATGGGTGCTGATAGTTCTCCTCACTTACCAACCGGAGATTCACTCAACAAGTTCATCCCGACTTCCGCAACAACCTTAGTCTGACAAACTCGACGAAACTGACAAAGTCAACTCGATATGTGCACGACGTACACCGTGAGGAGGGCTTGTCCCTACACAGGGGTCCTACAAGTGAATAGATTATGGAGAAAACTGACAAGGTTGTTTAATGTCAAGGGTATAATAAGAACACTTTCATATGGTCATTTCAGTGTTCTCTAAAGAAAACTACAAATAACTTACAAGGACCTTACGAAGTTGTGTACTGTAGAAATCAATCAATCACCGTTGGGGGTCGACATTAAAATATAAATAGTAAAATTAGATATATTTATTGTTAAGACTACTGGAATTGACACAGAGGATAACGCTTAAATATACACTCTAAAGAGGGACTTTGAACATTTTAGTACAAAAAGAAAATGCGATAAAACAGCAGTTAAACGCCTATAAAATAGCAATTCTACTTTTACTTCCTTGTTTTAATTGACCACTTGTCCATTTCTGTGCCAGTGCTCAATCATTCCAATAAACCTTCAAAGTTAAGTGACAAACGTTGAAAGTGATAGCCTTAGCTTCATTACTTTGCTTAGTTTAGAAACTTTCGTTCGTTTGATCTCCGGTGGTGAACCTCCCATATCAATTTAAAAAGAGTAGCTTCCTAATGAATCCTTGCCGAACACTCCACGTAGGGGCAGTGTACCACAAAAATCACCTGGTTTAATGTTTTATCACATGAGATGAAGTGGCAAAATTGACTGCATATGGGCTGTATCATGGCTTTTAAATATCCTTAAATCAACTTTTCTAGTGCTTTTATCTAAGTCGGAGACTTGACACCCTTGGATTTCAGAATTCATCTTTTGTTGGCGTACGAATCAATACTCTGTTTTCATGTTTTTATATTTTGCTGTTTGACACCGGAAACCACCGAAAGCTGTGACTTCACAGCACGATTTTTGAACTATTTAATTGAAAACTGTTCACTATTAAAAATCAAAATAAAGATTAATGGGAGATTAAGTGTCATCGCGAATACCCCGTCGAGATAGAAGATGAATTGCGTGAGGTTCACGTTGTGATAACGTCCAGGATGCTCTTGACAAGATGAATTAAACTCTTCACCCCCATTGACCCATTACTACTTTCCAAATAAATATGGTTTAACGCTGTTTACTAGTGTGTCCTTACCAAGAAGCGTTGTTTGGTATAGGACGCTCAGTGACCTGGGAATGTTGCTTGTCGACTGCTTGAACACTCTACCCCAGTGACAAAGAAGACCTGTAGTTCTAAGCCAAAGACAGGCATTAACCAGTCTTACGTCACGAAATAGCCACAACTCCCGCTTCAAAGCAGTCATGGATGATTGGTACAATGACCTTTTGGTGTTCATGCAAATGAAATATGTTTCTGTAGGGCAATCTCAAGAACCTTTAAAAAACTGACACTGCTAACAGTCGTCATACCGCAATCCTATGAAATGACAAGAATTGCAGCTGATCTGCTAAGTGTAACAATAACACAGCGACACAAGTACAGCTTTACTGATAAAGATTTTGAAACCACGTCGTTGAGAAAGCAGCGGGAGCTGCAATAACCTTTCACCATGTTCGCTCTTTGCAGTGTTCTTGAACACCCGTGTATTTTGTTAAGCACCCCTAAAAGTGACAATAAATGTTTCCGCTGGATAACCCGGATGTTTGGCCCTGAAACTGAAAAGTCACTGCCAATGCACGTGATATTTTAAGCCCAAATGGATCGTCATCTCGTTTGATTTCACAGTTCTGCTTGCTTATTAAGCTACATATATAGTTTGCCGTTTTTGGTGGAAAGGGCCAATGTATATGATAAGCTTTCCGCATTCAGGGGTAGTACGAGAACTTTTCCGTGAACTGCGAAAAGATATCTCAATTGATCAATTTCCTGCGGTAATTAAGGAGACAGTGGTTTGTGTTGAAGACAAAGACGCATTTTAAACAGACTGGATCGAGCTGGTTTGAAAAACTTCATAAATTTCGCTTGTTAGATTATCCAAGGCTTGCTTTGTAAAACCAAAAATTTTACTCAAATTAAAACACACGGGAGCCTTCAAAACATCACTGATAACAGGAATGATCTATTCTGAATGATTTACGGCCTGTCGATGCTAATCCGACTATTCTTTGTTAATTCCGTTGGTCAGATTTACATTGCCCCAGTCTTAAAATATTCGGGTCTAACAATTTTAAACAATGGTAAGTTTGCTGAAAAGAATAAGATGTACAAAGACAATACAAATACAGTATACCAGTAGTTTTTTAAGTCCTTGAATTCAAAACATTTATAAGGGAACATTTTTACCGTTTAATGTGTCGGATGCATTGTTATGTGCGGGTTTTTGGGCATCCCTGTTGGCAGAAGTCAATGTTTGGGCACTCTGCTCAAGCAGAAAATAAAGAATTCTATAGAAGACTGTTTGTTGTGGATAAACCTCGGTTGTTTACTCTATTCAACCGGTGACCTGCTTAGCTGGTGTTTAATACCACGACTTGCCTGGGCCACACCTTAAAATGCATGCAGCAACCGATATCGCGGAGTAGACTTGTATGGTGCTAATCACAAAGCGAACTATTCTTTGTTTTTTCAGTAGCCGTGTGAAGTTGTTAGATAATCGACAGCAAAACAGTTATATTGATCAGTATCAGCGGATTTAAAATGCCTGTATGAAAATCAAAACGTCTAGAATGTTCTACCAGGCGGAGTCTGTTACGAGAATCGGGCAATATAGGTCTATTCATGTTCTGAAAATAAAACCCCGCACTTTGAAATCAATTTTAAAGTGCAAAAATGGTGTTGTTTGGTGAGGGATCGTATCCAGTCGTCACGTTCTTGAAAGCATTGTGCAGTTTTAGTACTTCATTTACATTGGACTCTCAAATATGAGTGAAAGTGAATATCTTCCCAATTTACTTCGCTTCGCTTAGGGGCTTGTTTAATTTCAAACCGAAACGAGATTTTTATTGATTTCCTATTTGAAACACTTTGTATATTTAAAATGTATTTGATAGCCCCAAATATATTTCTTGGGCCGATCAAAATATTATCATAACATACAGGTCATAGTGCGCATGCGCAGCTCATCATAATAATATATAAACATGCCAAATGCAAACTTCTTTTCAATTGGCGAACAGTGCCAGTTGCTTGGTAGGTCGCTTTTCTCCTGCCATCCAGTAAGAATGAAAGCAGCTGGTGTATTGCTGGTTATAATTTGAATGTGAAAAGATATTTCTACGCTTTTTACGCACCAGAGAACGCCGTTTGAAACACATATCCAAGGACGATTCATTGGAGACCACCGCTTTTGACCTGTTCGGTGGACATCGCACCGTTCGAAGCTGACAATTTTATTTATCTCGCCCTTTCGACGTTTATAAATGTAGAAAGCTTCTAAACATGCCCTTCGTGAAAAGGCTTGCGGTTCATTCGGGCATAATTCTTGCAGTCTGGTGTGCTTTTCTACAACAGACCGTTCGCGGAGCCGACTCGAAATGCAATCTAAGAACAGAGTGTAAACCGGGGATTGTTTTGCCTGTATGGGGAGGCGAACCTTCTACCGGCGAGACTGTTGGGAGAGCATTCGTGTACCTCCTTGCCTTACTATTTATGTTCCTTGGTGTTTCAATAATTTCAGATCGCTTTATGTCTGCGATAGAAATAATCACATCGAAAGAAAAAGAAATAAAAATAACGGACAAGCAAACAGGAAAGGAGAGAGTGCTGACTGTGAAACTGTGGAACGAAACAGTCTCGAATTTAACTCTCATGGCACTTGGATCATCCGCACCCGAAATTTTACTCTCGGCAATTGAAATCTGCGGAAATAATTTTAATGCTGGCGAGCTTGGTCCTTCCACTATCGTAGGGTCTGCGGCGTTCAACTTGCTGATTATCATTGCAGTCTGTGTTTATGTTATTCCGGATGGCGAAGTTCGACGAATCAAGCATCTGCGCGTATTTGCTATCACAGCTTCCACGTCGGTCTTGGCTTACGTTTGGTTGTATGTAATTTTGGCGCTCTCCTCAAAGGATGAAGTGGAGATATGGGAAGCTATTCTAACCTTTGCCTTCTTCCCTGTCATGGTTATCTGTGCCTACATTGCAGACCGTAGGCTTCTCTTCTACAGAGCCCTACGAAAGAGACAGAGGAGGCAAAAGCGCGGGGGAATGACCGTCGTGCAGACAGGCGATTTCGATATTATCGGAGTTCAGGTGAAAGACGGATTTGTCGATGGAAATGTTGGCGATGGTCGTTATGCCGACACCGAAGCTGGTCAAGATTTCGATGATGACGAATTGCTACACGATCTTACGGAAGACAGGCGCGAAAAGGCTATCCAAGCACTGAAAGAAATACGACAAAAGTACCCAGATGCTGACCGTGAGACCGTCGAACGTCTGTTGGAGCAAGAAAACCTCAAACTTCAACCTAAGAGTCGAGCGTTTTACCGAATTGAGGCCACTCGTAAGATGGTTGGTAGTGGAAACGTATTGAAGATGAAGCATGACAAGCTGGAAAAAGCCAGCAGTTCCTTGGCAGATGCAAGACTTGAGATGCACGAAGTCGAGTACGAAGACCCTCAGGTCGTCAGAGTTTATTTTGACCCCGTGCACTACATTGTCAAAGAAAACTGTGGCAGTGTATTCATGAACATTTCACGCATTGGTGGCGATCCCACTAACACAGTTTTTGTAGACTTCAGGACGGAAGATGGCACCGCAGAGGCTGGTCAAGATTATGAAAAAACCGAGGGCACAATTTGTTTCAGGCCAGGAGAAACCACCAAGACTTTCTCCGTCGTTGTAATCGACGATGACATCTTTGAAGAAGATGAACACTTCTATGTTCACCTGGGAAATGTTCGAGTGGCTGGTGCTGATGGTGATCTGGTGCGAAACAAGTACCGAGGTCCGGCGGGAAAAGTTGGCAAAGACGGTGTTGCTACAATCACAATCCTGGACGATGACTACCCCGGTATATTCACATTTGAGGAGGAGAAACACTCGGTAACCGAAGCAGATGGAACAATTAAATTGAAGGTGATTCGCCACACGGGAGCTCGAGGCACCGTTCGGGTTCCCTACCACACAGTGGAAGGAACTGCCAAAGGCGGTGGCGATGATTACGAGGATGCTGTTGGTGAATTGGAGTTTGGGAACGACGAAACATGGTAAGATTCTGTGTTGTTTTCTTTTTAGAATTTAAATTGATAGAGTTAAAAAGTGTGCTGATTTCTGTTAAAGGATTTTTTAAAAAAATGATAATCAACATATATGCCATATTTACATACTGCAGATCTTGTTATAAGGCTGTATTTTTGGATCTATTAATATTGTTTCTTTTAAGATCGAAAACGTACTATTGTCAAAACAAATCACTCGACTGTTTCTAGAAGCTTTCCGTACACAACATACTTATATATATCGAAATTCATCCGAGTACAAACCAATACAGGTGGTTTATTTACAGGGTTAAAAGGAGACTCTTTTGTTTTAATCTGCCACGTAGATCGGTAAATTCACCGAAAATTTAACTTGTGATGACGACGATAACTTTACATTGTTAACATCTGTCTACAACTTGCAGATGCTACGGTTATAAAATGCAAACAATAAAGCGATAATGATGCGACGTCGTATGCTTTAGCTTTCATAAATTTGAAATTGATTTAAAACAGCAAACTTTTAATTTTACTTTACGCTATTTAGCAACATTGCCTTGATTACGAAGGTTATCATTTAGACCTGACAGGTTCTGATAGTTGATAATAATGTGGCCCCAGCATGATGTATTGAGGTAGTATGAATTTATGTCGTGATATTTACTCCCAAGACTTTCGTTTTACCCTTGTCACGTCAGAAACATTTTGTTTACAACAAAGGGGAAAATATCCACAAAAGCAGATTACTATTTCCTTGTTAGCTTTTAATTTTTAGAATCCTCAGGTGCATTAGAGGTGAAAGGTTTGCGGTTATATTTACCTCTTCGAGCAATCCAAAAGCAGAGAAGCAATTCATATTCTTGGCAACAAAATTTTTTTTTAACGAAACAAAACCGCCACGATCGATGTTGGCACGTATTCTTTTCTGGTAACAAAAGAGCAATTTATGAAACAATATCTGGAGAGCATGACGGTTACTTCATGGATGGGAAATTCAAGAGATTTGGTTTTGATGCTGCAACTAGGCAAGGCTTGTGCATAGTCCTAACAAAATTTATCAGGATTGGCCTTTACGTCTAAAATATCGTGACCAGAATTTTATATCGCGTGTGAAAAGAACGCAGGCTGATCAAGGTGGCATTTGTTGTAAACATGTGCAGATGAGCACTGCAAGGTGTCATGACCCTGTTGATGCCACCAAGTATGGGTGGGGAGGGGGGCTTTAAAAGGACTCCCTTTTTATCAAACGAAGGCCGATGTTTTAATATTGAAATAGCATAGTGGAGAGGATTTTGCATACAAAACATGTTTGTTGTACGTCTGAAACTTTTGACCTTTCAAGTGGATGCACACTGTACTGATCTTCCCTGTTCATCAAGTGCACTAAATGAAATTGATTTGTATCTGAGATTGTTATGACACTTTTATTTAATAATTCGATACTTGTTTACTCTGGGTTTTGATTCAAATATTGTAACATAGGCTTAAGTTTCATAATATAGGACAGTTAAAATATAGATATGCCTCTATGACTTTGACAAGTGTTCGGTTGAATATTTCTTGGCGCAGAATATCAACAAGACTTTATGTTTTCAAATGTAACCATTCAGCATGAAATGGGATTGGTTATAGCCAACGGTTGTTTATTTACAAGCCTGTCATTCTTAATTGGTTGAGATCAAGTCATTCCTGGATGGAATTATGTTTATGATAAACAGCATTAAGAAGGCAAATGCCGATTCAAATATTTGTGTGCCCATGCTTGAATTATTTAGATAATTTCAATTTTTTATAAATTATGTAATTCTCACATATAATAGTCGAGTACGCAGATACATGTTCAGGAGATCTGAATATTTTTTACTCCATGCAAGTTTGCATAAATAATTAACAAGTGGTATAAGATAAGTTTTGTGGCATTGTACATTGTATAATGAGTTCAGAGATTCAACAATCGTTGTGTGTAAGATGAAGTCAGGCCTGATAAGAAAATCTCTGCTAAAAAGTTATTTTTACTCATGAATCTCTGTCTTATTTATTGGACCACAACTTTCAGTTAAATCTTGACAGAACAGTTTCAAAGTTTTTATTTGTAATAAATCATTATGCAAATCATCACTTGGGAAGATACATATATATAAGATAGAATATCACACTGGGTTGGTCGAGAGTTGAATGAGAAAAAAATTCAAATGGAAAGTGGTCATTTAGCAATAGCTCAAATTGAAGTTGATCTTAGTTGTTCTCCTTGAGCAAACATGTTGTTGATTGTGGTTTTGAAATATAAATATTTAAATAAAACATAAATGATAAACACATTTATGTGTATAAAACCTATTTTCCAACCAAGACTATATTGATTTTATTGAAATGTATCTTAGTTTTTTGTCAAACATTACATAAGGTACATAAAAGAACATTTATACAAAGAATTGTTTCAAGTGTGTTCTTTCAAAGGATTTCCCTGTAAGCTAAAGTCACAGATTAATACGTTAGCCAGTGGTGACTTGAATAAGATATTAGTGAAATTACTGCTTGCCACCTGTTTGGCCTTTATTGAAACTCAAATATGGTAAAATCACTAAACATTTTATTTAGCATGTATAGCAAACATGTTGACTATGAAAGTTAAAGACAACAATCAGCCAACCAAGAGGAGGTCAATGAAAATAATTTTTCTTTTAATTTGTTGACTACCCTGGGTTATGCAAAATCACCTTTTTATCTTTTTATCTGTGGAAAACTTAAGTTTGGAAAGTTGAAAGCTGGCATTTTTATGATTCTCAATTTTAGCCCACAAATGTTTGAAAATGTTTCTCTAAACGACTTTTTTTTAACATTTTTATGTTGTTTTAGCTGAAATATTACATCAAACCTTTCCTCATGGAAATCTCTATAACATCAACACCTTTCTAATGAAAGACAGTCATTTGGTCCCAAAGATACTAAAAGCCATCTAATCCCTACCCAGTGTTCTCCCCAGGTATTTAAGGCTAGGTGGGCTGCCTGGCTTAAGTCACTGGAAAATCATTGCCACCTGGCTTAAAACCAAATTTTTATCCTCTTGGATGCTTATGTTGACATGTAGAACTAGGTACTTCAGGGATAAAATCACTCAATAACGTTGATGAAACATTGTCCGTGGTGTTTTTACTTGTGTGTTTTCTCGTAATTAACTGATTATAAAAGTGATTTACCATTGCATGTATATGTTTAAACCTGTGATGCACTTGTTTCACTGAATGGCAGCCATCTTGAAATTGACCGACATTTATAAGGGCCCTTCAGGGAGCTTACACGGAGTAGTGACTGAAATTCCAGCGCTCACATTTTAAGCAGTATCACAACTCACAATGGAAAACTCAGACAGTCGACCCAAGATAGGTGGAACAAAAAAGGAAAGCTTGTCAAAGCGAATTGATTTTTTTTACTGTACAAGCACTATCAAAAATCTGAGTCCGAAGACCCCTTGGCCTTCCCCAAAATCCTAGGGAGAACACTGCTACCTGTAAAACAGACCCCTCTCTCCCTTTGGTGCCCAGGTTTTAAAAAGGCACTTTATTTGATTGTCAGTGTATTTAACACAAAAGTGCTGAATTGGGGGCACTAATTTTACACCTATTTTTTGTGGTCACCTGAGCCACCTAAAGGTCTAGCCATTTGTAGAGCAGAGGAAGAACCTTCAGTTATCAGTTTTTTTAAGACCTAGAGTACTGGTCCAGCCCCAGGAATCAAACCCACAACCTCCCGCCCTACAGTCAAGTGCTCTACCAACTGAGCTAATCCTGCCACTGAATAAAGAGGTTCAATTGCATTTTAAATAAAATTACATGAGTGTTTTTCATATTTTGTATGCAGTAGTGGCATCACCTTGCTTTCTTACTTTAGGAAAAACATTGAGGTCAATGTCATAGATGATGAAGAATATGAAAAGAACGAAACATTTTATGTCGTCCTTGGGGAACCAAAGGTTGTGAAAAATGATGAGGATGATGATAGTGGAGCTGGTACTGAAGAGATTTATGACGCTGAGAAGCAACGCCTTGAAGAACTGGGAAAGCCTAGACTAGGTGCTAAATTACACAAAGCCTTTCTTGTGTCTCTTAGTCGTCTCACAACTTTTTTGCGTTAATATTTATTAGGGAGTTGAAGCAGCAACAACAACAACTAAAACATCACTTGAAAATTACATTCGTGCTCTTTCAAACGTTATCACACTTATTCCATCTCATTCAGTTCATCAAAAATGTTGGCAAATGTTCTGGGCTTGAATTCTAAAAGACTATCAGAGTTCGGGAAAGGAAAAAGAAAGTCGTTGTTCTGAGTTCATGTTCTCTACACAATCAATGTGAAATTAGGCACTTTGATGTCATGATCATAGTCGATGTATTAAAAAAAGTGTGATACACCTGCACAGTTGTTGTTTTGCTTATCTAATCCTATTGCTTGTTTGCTGCTCTCGTTGCCATCATCGTTGCTTAAGCTCCCTAATGTCATGTTTGTTATTTTAAGTCCTGCATTGTCCTGTATATTTTTTTCACAAAGCGAATTAAATAAATTTGATTTTAAGTAAGTTATTGAACACAAAACGACCCTTGCGTACCAAGAGCCATCTCCAGTTACACTGCATAATAAGGTAGCCACTCAACAAGATCTTGATGTTGGAGTAAAATTCTGTTTGTCATCACTTCTCAGGTGAAACCAAAAAGGCTGAGGTGACCATTATAGAAAGCAAAGAGTTCAAGAACACAGTTGACAAGTTGCTTGTCAAAGCCAATTTAGCACTGGTTGTGGGTACTTCTTCTTGGAAGGAGCAGTTTACTGATGCTCTGACAGTAAGTGGCAGTGGTGATGATGACAGTGAAGAACCAAGCACGCCAACCTTTGGTGACTACATGATGCACTACATGACTGTCTTTTGGAAGCTTCTGTTTGCAATCGTCCCTCCCACTGACATATGGGGTGGATGGGCATGCTTTGTTGTATCCATCATCTTTATTGGCATTTTGACAATGGTGATAGGGGATATTGCATCCCACTTTGGCTGTACTATTGGCTTAGCAGATAGTGTTGTTGCCATTACTTTTGTGGCGCTTGGAACAAGTCTCCCAGGTAATGGCAGTCTGTGTGGAACATAATTACATGCTCTACCTACTATTACTCACTAGTGCATCCAAATCAAGATCACAACCATGAAGTACTAGTTTTTTCAGCCATCAAAGATTTCTTTATTTTCGAATAACTTTGCAAGAAACTTATGCTTTTCGTTAATAAACTGGCTAACCTTCATGCAATCAGGTGCAGTCGGTTTAGACCCAAAAGGGATAATGGTTAAGGAAAACAGAGTTGATGTTAACAGTTAATTGAAAGAACTATCCGTATAAGAAACGTTTGCACCATTTACAATTACTGTTTGCCCTACAAATGTCATATCAATATTGTATGACCTCTACAATTTAGGCCCTAGCTCTTATTTGCTTTAGTGTCAAGAAAAAAGAATTTTCAACTGCCTTTAACATCCAAATTAAACTTTCTTAATTAACTGGGGTAAGCTGAAAAAAGCACTGCCTGATCAAGCTGCAGCATACAGCACAATGAATGATTGACACACACAAGGTTAAATATATCCTATGTTGTAGCCTTGTCATTAAGGAGACCACCTCTACTGTTGTTAATGGCCTTTTTTTCTTTGATCTACAGATACATTTGCAAGCAAAGTAGCTGCTGTTGGTGATGAGTATGCTGATTCATCTATTGGCAATGTCACTGGAAGCAATTCTGTGAATGTCTTCCTAGGACTGGGTGTTGCTTGGTCAATAGCAGCAATAGCCAAAAAAGCCCAGGGCGAGAAGTTTGTAGTTGAGGCAGGGTCCCTTGGTTTCTCTGTAGTAGTTTTCTGTTGTACAGCCGTCGTTGCTATAGCATTAATGATGCTACGGAGAAATAAAAAGGTTGGAGGAGAACTTGGTGGTACGAAGGCCTTCAAACTCCCCACATCACTTTTCATGACCTTCCTTTGGGTACTGTACATCGTACTATCCTCTTTACAAACATATTGCCACATTGATGTATCCTTTTAGGCTCTCAAAGGTAACTAATGCTCTGTCTAGGCTGACAATATCTTTGATACAAAAGCTTGCTTGTGTATCTTTGTATTTTCAACAAACCGTTTTGAAGGTAGTGTTTCAAAAAAATTAATATTTCTGAACTGCAAACACCCATTTGTAATGCTCTTTTCAGATTTATTGTAATAGTTAGTTTTATTATTTTGAAAAGTTAGAAGAAATCATATTTTAGATTCAGAAACAGAGATATTCCCAAGTCAGTGAGTTGCATGTAAAGCTATAACAGTCACCTTCAGGATACCAAAGACACCAAATCAGTTAGATGTTAGTACAGTCGAACCTCTCTTCAACCGCCCCCTTGGGGACAGAAGAAAGTGGCCGTTGTGGAGAGGTGGCCGTTTTGGGGAGGTAGGGGTGTTATATGGCAAATTTCTTTCAGGGAGTACAACATGTTTATTGTGCTAAGTTCGTGCTTACTGTATCCCATAATGTTAATCCAATCATAATTAATGTACAGTGAGATAAAATACACAAAAATACTTGAATAATGTTTTGAATCAAAACGTTAACGTGACAAAACAAACAAGTATCATGGACAATTTATGCTTACTGTGGTAGTATCACTGAAACACAATCAAAATACGATGCCGCAATTAATCATCAATGCACCTTACTGATCAAATTTCGTGAACATTCCTGACTTTTTTATCAGTCGCTGAAAAAACTGGCCGTTGCCATTGTAGAGAGGTGGCCGTTGTTGGTGGTTCGACTGTAACTGGTTAATGAAAGTAGTCCTTTTCTGGACTTTTAGATACCATTACCATTAAATCAAGTCTCTGTGATCCCTGTCAACCATGTACAGGTTGTGCATTCATGCCAAATGATAGCATGTATGCCTTGAAACCAGAAGAGATTTTAAACATCCAACAATGCCAAGGACTTAATGAAAGCTTTATTGAAACCCAAATTGCTTAGAGACAATCAGCTTTATCTCAAATGTCACTGTGCTCCTGTAATTTTCTAATTAAAATACTGAATTGCCAACATGCAGTGAAAATTGTACGTGTAGCCAAAGTTTTTGAACTGGCATTTCAACACTCCGCAATGGGATTTTCACCATGTACTGGTGGTGAAACGTTTTCCAAAAAAATCTTTCATTTATATGCAAGTGCTGAATTATTGCTTCCCAGTCGCTAGAAATTTAGAATGTTTCTGTTGTCTTAGCTGTAACAGCTGTTTGTCAATTATTGCAAGTTGTTGGCAGGCCCATGCTCTTAATTTTTGCTAGTCAGAGGTTTCTTCCTGGCGTGGTTTTTAGCATTTAGGAAGTTGTTCATATCGCTGACATTCACGTGGAGTTACCATGTGAATGTCAGCAATGCAAACAACTTGAGGTTAATAAATGCTATAGACAATGCTGGAAAGAAACCTCTGCTTGTAGATAGGGTAGTTTAATATTTATTACTGGCTAGTAACACTTAAAAGTTGTTTTTTACTTATTATGGTTAGAGGGCACGGATACATAACCAACTGCTCTTTATAGTAATGAGTAGCATACCACAAATGAGCATACAAATAGGTTCAAATTTACTTTTACAAATAAATTGTTCTCATGTTATTATGATTCTTTATTATCATTATTGTTATGAGGGCATTGTGGAAAAGAAATGTGGGTGATGATTTTTCCTGGAAATCAATACTACTCCTGACACTTATTACTGGCACGTTGACAAGGTACCAGTACTAGCAACAAATCATAACAAAATATCTTTTCATCCCTTACACTTTGCTAAAATTGTTGTACTTGTAGGTTAAAACTCAATGAGTGTGTCAGCCAATTGAGTAAACTTCTTTTAAACTTCAGCTGAGAAACAGCAAATTTTGCCAGAAATTACACATCTTGTTGTTTTGTCTTTGAATCATATGAAAGTGTAAAGTTAAGTTGGGACAGTCCAAGTGGAACGTGCATTTTCTTTCAGCCACGAAAAATTTCTAACACTGGCCAGCAGAGGAGCTGATTAAGTAAATTAGCAATTGACCACTTGATTTGGGTCAGTTTTAAGGAACTAGGAGTACACAAATTCATGGCATTTATAGCATTTTGTTTTAATGCAGCATACAAGACAAATTTGAGCGGACTGATCTCGAATGATCTGGTTTTCCAGGGAAAATCCCCACTTTCGCCTCTTTTCTACTGTACCCTTCAATATTATTGATCTCCTATTGTGGCAACCACCAGAAAAGCAAAGCATGAAACAAAGAAATTCTTTTATCAACATGCTGTAGTAAGGTCTTAAAATGCTTAGTTTGCTGGACATTATGAATCTTACAGTATTGGGCAATATTGACCATATTTTTACATGTAAGGAAAGTGGTTAATTACCTTGTTACATGAATTTTTTGCAACACTTGTACTTCGCAAAGTCAAGTTGATGAGGTAACAAAACAATCTTTTATTGCCAGCAATAATGGGAAAATAATATTATTGTCTTTCCTCTATTTATGTTATTTCTATGTAATTTATTATTTGTTAAGCTGCTATTGCAGGGAAAGAAATATTTTTGCAGCCTAAGCTTTCATTGTTTGAAACAAGAAATATTGAATAGGGCTGGCCCTAATATATTGAGCAGAGAAGGTGTTTTTTTTTTAATTAGAGACGTTTTTCAAACCAGTTTTGAACATTTTTAATGGAGGATCTACTTGCACTTACCAAATTGTCCAGTTTTGTTTTGATACTAGAAAACCAACAAACTTTATAAACTTTAAAAGAATTAACAGCCTTTAAACTAACAAGGCTAATGTGCTACAATGCAAAGTAGAGGTGAATAATTTTGTTTTGTATGAACTGTGTGAAACATTCTTTGCCACAAAACTGAAAGAAAAGAAAGTGCTCGGTGTTTCCATCCCCAAAAAGAAATAGAAATTATCCTTTATTATTATTATTATTATTATTATTATTATTATTATTGTTATTATCATCATATCCTTACATATGATATTATACTTTTTCAAACTCATTGACAATTCATAAAGAAAATACAAAGGAAATTAATGTTTCATGAGTGTTTGGAAATCAGATGGAAAACTGCTCATTTTTGCATCCTTAATTTCTCCCTCTAAAATCATTTTGTTTCAGAAGAAATATCAAGCATTAGACACGTGTTTCATCACCAGATGAAACACCTTGAAGTTTGTTAAAAATACTCCACTGCACGTCATATTTTCAACTCTGTTCTCAATGTTTCATCTGGTGATTAAACTCTGCGTCTCCTTCTGGATACATTAAATGAAACTGAAGCATTAACTGCACTACTGAATAACTTAGTCCTACCGAGTAAAGCTTATGGAATTCTTATGAATGAGTTAGTGCAATTTTCCACATCATTATACTCATAGCAACAAAGTACACAGCAATAATGGGGTCAGACTGCCTGTGGTTTTTTAAGTGTTGTCATCAACTATATTTCACCAGGTACCATGAGCATGATTTGTTTTCCAATGTTATTCTGATACCATCTTGGATTTGCAAAATGTATCAATAATTGCTGTTCATTTAATGAGTTAAGTAAGCAATAATTTTGAAATTAGTTCTATTCAATTATAACTCACCTCTATAAAATTCCTAGAGAGTGAGTGAATAAAATAAATACAAATCCAGTGCTTGTATTCAGAAATTCTCAGAGCAAGTGTTTCACTTTATTTCAAGTCAGAGGTTGTATTTATGCTGATAAACAGTATTTACCTTAAGGCTGAGAGAATCTTGCTAGATGTTACAAAAATCCAAGTTAGGTGTATATAAGATACTATTCTAAGCATCATAATATGTATTACGCAGGTGTATTTTATTTTAAGTAGGTTACTCAAGAGCTTTCCCAAGGTAGAGATTTTTAAAATAACTTATTCCATTTAAGTTAAGTTGCACTATGTCAAGGAGAGACTGTTGTTGGAAATACAACTAATATTGTATTATTTTAATAGTGGTGTTGTAAGACATTCTTCTTGTAGCACAAACATGTGGTTTTATCAGTAGGGTGAACAATAATGTACCCAGCAAAAAGGAAGCATTAGAACTTCGATGCAAAGCTGATAGGGAATAGTTTTTAATGACGAATTTTTCAAAACTCTCAATATTGAATGTTCTTAAAACATATCGTACAAGAGCTGAGAATAAATATATATGTTGAAAGGATTTCGCCATTGTTTTGTTTCAATTTGATCATCCCAAAGGGTAGGAATGATAATAGCCTGCGAGCAAGCTCTGTGGGGCGTTTTGGCAGCAGAGCAAAAAAGGACGGAGAACTAGCACTCATGTCTCAGGGATTTGAATCCAGCCTCCAATGCCCCCTGTGACTCTCCGTTGACTGAGCTTTCAGATTTCAGCCAATCTGTGTGGAGCGGAAATGAGTATTGAATGAAAACAAACATAAGAAAAGCGCATTGCAGATAAATTTCCCACTAGCAGACAAAGCCCTGAAAGTACGGCCACTGAGAAAAAAGAGGGACCACTAGAAAATCGTCAAGTTCTCAATTCACTATTTAGGTTGTTGAGGGTACCAGGTCAAGAGAAGAACACTGAAAAAAGGGCAAACCACTGCTAAGGCAAGATATTAATTTTTGAGACAAGATACTTTGCAAGATTTGTGGATGGTCTAGAAAGCTTAGACCAATTAGCCTAACTTGAACTCAAAATATTGTTCCAAACATTAGTGTTTTGAAATGAGGAAGTCCTGAACAACTAATTGTGTCTCCAATTCGCTTGAAATAGAAAAAAATCCTAGCCTGCCTTTTTGGCAAGACTTACAAATTTTAACCTGTCATTTATTTTTTGGCCTGCCACCCTCTGACATCTTTGCTATTGATGAAATCATATTGTCTTTATTTTCAGTAGGAATTCCATTGATTTTTTTTTCTTGGCTGTCGCAAAGATGAATTCATGAAATAAAACAAAGTATCCTACAAACTCAAATCACATGCATGCCTATCATAATTTTCAAACCGTTTACTCACTACTCTCTCAGTACTTGTAAGAAGTAGCATTTTTCACCTTTTTCACCTTTTGCCAGCCTTTCTTCAAAGAGACTATCAAAGGTTCCAATCAAACAAAACTTAGCACTTGATACTCACTCAAATTGTTCAATCACAGAAGACATGGTAGATGACTCAAAATCGGAAGTATTTCACTACAAGGAAAGAGGTTGGTAATCAGAAATTCATGAAGCAAGCGGCCTGCTATTTGTCGTGCTTGTTTATTTCATTTTGTGTTAATAACAATTTTTTAGCGCCAAAATCTGCCATCTATTTTTATTATTTACTTTACTTTTGTGTTTACAAATCATATTTTCAGCAAGTGGATTCATTTTACCAAAATTTAAAATGTTTTGACTTTTCCTGATACTTTATACATCACACAGATTATTAATTTGGTGATCTAAACCATAACCCTGTTGCGTGATCATTAAAAGGTATCAAAAATGCACCAAAACTTGCATTCGATTGATCAAAACCATGAAGTATCGTGTGGTCTAAGATTAAAACGCAAACTTTTGCACTATGTTTTTGAGGAGGACAAGAATGTGTGTGCAATCAATCAAAATATGCGTACGCTCTTTGGGCATTATGATTGCAAACCCTGGGGGTACTTGCATGTATGTGCCGCTGGCCTCTCAGTGCCCCTAAATCACTATTCTTTGGCCAATTATAGACCCCATCTTAGTCACTTTTGGATGAATATGTAATTTTCATGATCCCAACTTTGTCACTTTCTATTTTTACGAATTGACCCATTTTTTTTTTTAAATTGAATGAAGAACACTTTACTTTTCACCTGCAGTGCAAACATTCTGGTACGTTTGCTAACCATAAATATGAAGAACTCATGTCTTACCCCAAGACATCCGAATATGTGCAACCCCATTCTAGTAACTCTATGGAAAATGTAACCCCCCTATAGTCAATCTAGTCATGAGAATGCGACCCCATCCAGCAACACATCCCCATTAGCCTCTTATAAGGAAGTACCCCCCTCCCCCCAGGTTGCAAACACACAGGAAAATTAAAAATTAATTTTTTAACGTATTTCCTTGAATACGTATTATTAACTCTTACAGTGCAGTTTATAGGACGTTGGGTGACATAACTCTGGTTTCGGGCAAGATGACTTTTTGGCGAATTGACCGTAAACCCTGGAAAATGCTGAGTTAAATTACTGAAAAAAATTGCAAACCATTATGCTCCTGCAAACTTTATGCACGAGATTCAGTCGAGGACCTTGTAGTGGTATTTTTCAAAGGGAACGATTAATTTGTGGAAAGAAATGGTGGGCAAACAAGCATGGTGAGAGGAAAAGAAAATGTTACAAAACCAGACTAGGAGTCCAGTTCATTAGTTATTTTCTCCTGCCAGACCTAAAATTTTGCCTGCCATTGGCAGGCTGGTATTTTGAACCAGTTCATTAGTTATTTTCGCCTGCCAGACCTAAAATTTTGCCTGCCATTGGCAGGCTGGTATTTTGAACCTTGGTCTCTCTTCTTCTGCTTATTCAGACTTCAAAAAGAACAGGAACACCGAAATAGATAAATTGACAGTTGCATGAGTTGCTAAAATTACAAGTATTTTTCCTCTGCCAAATATTTACTCTACTGCGAGCCATGTTTTGTTCACTACAAAGAAGTTAATAGCAAAAATAACCCAACTATAAGCAATTTTAAAGAGTAAAATTCCAGAAAGAGATTTTCAAAGTTAGAGAAGTATGTAAACTGAAGGTGTCTGGCCTGCCATCTCACAGCAACGACGTCATTACCAAATTTAATCTCCCCCAATCAGCAATTTCATCAACTTTTTCTATGCAGACATTCAAATCCCTGAAGCATGACTGCAAGCTTGTTCCTTTTTCACCCTGCTGCCAGAGCACCCTGGAGAGTTTGCTCACAGGCTAGACTGATAAGTGCCATCTAACATACAGGGTTCGCAAATACACCAAATTTGGCGTATTTTACGCCAAAATTGTTCAGATGATTCCACTGTGGTTGCGGAGGGAGTCACTTCGACTCCAGACAGAAATTTTCGGTAACAAACACAGTTTTGTCCTTACCTTTTTTCCAACAAGTACAATTTACGTTAATTGTAAACGTTGTAAACCTTAATTAAATCATCGAAATTAAAGAATTATACTGCGCGACAAAACAGGAAGAGGGTAAATTTCGATCAAAGTTTACTTGATCACTGCCATCATGGATTTGAGCTTTCCAGGTCATCAGACCGCTACAGCTAATTCGTGTATCCTTCATGATAGTGCATACATGCTGGGACCACGTGCTGGAAAGTCTGATACAGTCATACTTGACTCCAAATATCCCAGAATGACTCCAAAATTTGTGAAGCAGAAGTCACACTGACTCCACTCATCAATAAAATTTGCAAACCCTGTAACAAAATTAATGTACTAACAAAACAATCCAAAATAAATTGACTTACTTGAAATGTAGTCTTTTCTCCTGTTTCCTGTCAGTTGTTCGAAATCTACTGTGTGGTCATTTCGCTGATGAACTTGTCTAACTTCCAATCACCAAGTGACTTGAAACAAAATTTCCAAAAGAATACAGTGAATCAATGCCATCACTAGTACTAAGGTAGCCTGCATGGCAGGTGTTTGAAAGTAAAGGGGAAGGGGATTCCTGGCCCCTGGAGCAATCTAATCCTTAGCGATAGTACCTTCACCCTAGCATTCTTGTTTAAGGAAAACAAAAGAAAAACAAGAAAATTTTAACTTAAAAACGTTATTTGACGTTTTAATGTATCACACATCATTATCAAGAGTGAGAAATGTTAAGTTTCAAGTTGTTTAAAGAGCTTGAATAAATTAGATTTTATTAGATTGGATTCTTTGCCAAGAGGTTGTACCCTTGCCAAAATCACTTTGGCCCCTGATAGCATCATAAAGTG